CTTTTTCTGAACAGTGCAAACGCAAAAACCACTCCAGCGAATTTGCGAAGGGTCTAGTAAAAAACACAAACTTTACCTGGAGAGGAGTTTAGCGTATTTATTTTCTTTAAATTTTGCACACCCATCGGGCATAGACCACATATTAATTCCTGAAAGTCTTCGCTCGCTCCTTACAGAAGCAGCCGAGATATCAGTCTGTCGGGAAAATAACGGCGGATCGTCGCGCCTCGGAATCGCTCATCATCGCTTTGCGACTGCAAGCCGCGGCTTGGGATTTGGTGCGCGATAGCGGCGAGGCGAGACATTTTTCTGCGACGATCCGCCGTTATTTTTCCGACAGACTGATATTCAACAATCTTTGCGGCCGAGAGGGGACGCGGTCAGAGAAGAACTCTTTTTGGCCGTATCTTTGCCAGCTCTTACTACACTAAAAACTCATCAAACGCCCATCAAAAAGTCCCCTTTCAAGAACCCCTGTACAGTAAGCCCAGAGCCAAAAATAACTCAAACACCATTTACTCTGCGGTTGACCATTTACTCTTCCATCTCCCCAAAATTTATCCAAATTACTGCCCCACTAAAAAAATGTTGTCTGATCACTTCCCATCGCGTTTTTCCAGCTAATTCAAATTGTTTTGCATTCAAAGTCAACGCCAACCCATAAACAGGGCAATAAAATAGTAGTTTACAAGTGGACGTCACGGATTTCCGCGGATTGATTGTTAAGCCGCGCGCCAGTCCGCTAATATACAACCAGTAGTAAAGAAAGTCGACAAACGGAAAAATATGCGAGCTGGGAAGAAAAAAGCAAAGAAAAAAGTTATAGTAGATTACAAGCGAGGTACGGTATCTGTCCGTCGGGAAAATAATGAGCGCTCCGTCGCATGGAAAATCGCATGATTGCCGAGAAAATTGTTTCGTGGCAAAATCGAATTTCTTTTCACTTCAGCGACCCGATTATAGGACTAATAGTCCTGCCTAGAGTACCCTTATAAAACTACGTTAACCATTGTGGCTATATGCAATTTGGATGACGGATTTTCTGAATCGTCTTTTCGCGGCGAGACCTTTGCAATGCAAACGCAATTCATCAAAATACTAACACAAATAAATAGTATTAAACGTACTCGTTGACCTATAAAGGGCATAATTAACAAAAGTAAATGTCTTAATTTCAAAATCAATGTTGACCGCGCTGATCCGGTGTTGCGAACACAAAAAGAGTCGCCTCTCTTTCTTCCCTTCCGTCTGGGGTCAGTGGAAACAGAAGAAAGTGAGTGAATTTTTGTTAGCGGACCATTACAAAAATTGGGTCGCCAACGAGATTCGGTTAATTCGCTTTCATCTAATGAAACTTTTGCGACAAATTTGAATCCACCCCCTCGGGAGGGGGAAACCGATGGGCGGTTCATACCGGAATTGAGAAACCATTTAGAAATGATTGAAATAGTAAAAAAATTAACCAAAATACAGGGTGGGCCAAAAAAAATGGACAAAATTAAAAGTCGGTGTATCCCGGCACGAATACCGTAATCAACGGAAAGGAAGATAGTTTTATAATTGTCAACTATCCTACTTTATCACAACTATTTAACTTTTTTATATACTTTTGTTGAACCGTTGATACAAGCCAAAATGCTAGACCAGTCCATATTCTGACTACGTTTTCCGAAAATTTTATGAGTCCAAAAATCTTCAATGACCTGAACGTCTACGACCAGCCCAAACCTGGTGGTTGACTGTTTATCATGATACTAAGGGGAGCCCACAGAAGCAAAAAAGCTGATAGTATTCTATTAATTTCGCTCCAGCAGTTCTCAACGTGATCCACAAGACGTCCATCTAGATAATTCTAGATTTTTGAGATAATTGACATTTAAGAGTCGCAGGGCAGCCCGGCTCATGCTATTGATAGCAAAAAGTGGTCACTGTAAGACATCTAACATTGCTTTACATGGACCAGCAGTTGATTTGATAATAGCTTGCATCAGCCGTGCGCAGACCTTAAAAAATTCCAGCCGGCTATACCCAGAGACGCTGATATTTTTTGATCAGAAAATTTTTCTTTTTTGTTGGCGTTTTTTAACGTGCCGGATAACTATGACGGGATACTTTTATATCAAGGTGATACGACCCTTTTCTTCCATTTTAAGTCAGTTTCATAAAATGAGGATGCAGCTAGCCTTCAGAATCCATGTATTATTGCGATGACCCATCAAAAAGTCAAAAAAATCGATTTTTTGCTTGCGATCTTGCTGATTGAGTGGTACTGTTGTCAAAAATGCGCTTAGTATATTCATCGTAGAGTAGTAAACACCGTATGGGGATAATTAGTTTCAAAATGTTCACCACGTTTGGTAGAGCATCGATTTTCCGAAAGCGCCCAAATGAAGCTCGATTTTCCCTGGCCGAGTGTCTAACTTCTGGTCACTGGTTCTTCATTTTCCGAAAAGCTTGCGTTAAATCCTTTTAAAGCCTAAGGGGACATGTCTCCTAGATTTTCGTAGACCGCTTGGTATGTCTTTACAGCAACTCTAAAAAATTTAGGGGTAAGAACTTTTGAAGTTTTTGTCGCGGGAATTGGCGCGCTGACCCGGTGACCTTCCTGCAACCGTATGTTAGAAACTTCTGCAGATAGGAAAAAAATTCTACAGTAAATATGTTACATTAACACAGTACTTTCATGCCATATATACATTTTTTCACAAACTGTTTCATGGCAGGAAAAATCGAAGAAAAATTAATGTCCATTTTTTTTGGCCCACCCTGTATGTAAATTTTTGGAAAAAATTGAAATTTGAGCTAACAAGGGAGGCACCCCAAGTGCAACACTCAGATTTTCTTTAAATTTTGCACCCTCATTAGATGTAGACCACATATCAACTCCTGAAAGTTTTAGCACGTGCATTGCAGGGAGAGCCGAGATATTCAGCGACCTTTATGGCCGAGGGAGCACGCAAAAGGCGGAGAGTGGACAGAGAAAAACACTTTTTGGCCGTACCTTTGCCAATTTCGCGTGGAAAAAATGAATTTTTTGTGAGAAGTTATCCTCTACGCTATAAATAGGTAAGCAACGTTTCATGCCAAAATTCGTCAGGAAGTGTCACATTTTCACCAACTTTCGACCTAAAAATCTCGATCGTTTCTGCAAAGCGCGAGCTAGAAGTCTCGTAAACGTCATAGAAAAATTTATTCTAAATTTGTGACAAGTTCCACCAAAATATGAGCGGTACTTCAACTGTAAGCCAACGAAATTTCTAGAGTGATATTTTTAATTTTGAAAAACGGCTGACCCTTAAAAGTGCGAAACAAGGAAAAATAAAAATTACCGCATCCACTTTTACAAATTTCACGGTCTAATAACGCAAACTTCTTGGAGAAGAAACAAATCGAAGTGATTGATCCAAGAAATGTCGCGAAGTGAAACTTCCCGGTTCATTTTCGGCACGTACACTAACAGGAAAAGAAATGGAATTTCGGAATTTCGACGCTTAGATTATGATGAAACTTGGCACAAACTTACAATAAATTTTTCTAAGACATATACGAGACTTCTAGCTCGCGCTTTCCAGAAACGACCGAGATTTTTAGGTTGAAATTTGGCGAAAATGTGACACTTCTTGACGAATTTTGGCATGAAACGTTGCTTACCTATTTATAGCGTAGAAGATAATTTTCCCACAAAAAAATTCATTTTTTCAAAACGAAATTGGCAAAGATACGGCCAAAAAGTGTTTTTCTCTGTCCACTCTCCGCTTTTTGAGTGCTCTCTCGGCCATAAATGTCGCTGAATATCTCGGCTCTCTCTGCAAAGCACGAGCTAAAACTTTCAGGGATTGGTATATGGCCCATGCACGACGGGTGTGCAAAATTTAAAGAAAATCTGAGTGTTGCACTTGGGGTACTTCCCTCCATGCCGGGCAGGTGTGACGCTCAGATTTTCTTCAAATTTTGCACACACTTCGTCCATACGGCACATATCAATTCCCGAAAGTTTTAGCTCGCGCTTTGTAGGGACAGCCGAGATATTACCTTTATGGCCAGAGAGCACGCAAAACGCGGATCACAGACAAACACAGTTTTTGGCCATACCTATGCCATTTTCGTATGGAAAAAATGATTTTTTGTGGAAATATGATCCTCTACGGTAGAAATAAGTACGAAACTTCGAGCAAAACGCATTTTAAAAATCCCTTTTGTACCTCGAACATTCCCAAACAAACCCGTTTCCAAGATAAATTACTAAATTTCCCTCAAAAAATCTCCACCTTCGCTTATTAATCGTCTGCGAAAACGCTCTCCTCTTACTCGTATTTTGATTAATTTTTCTCAAGTTCTCCCCTCAATATGTGTCAATCTCACTTTTTCCGGATATTCAAAAAAATTCTCCGTTCCTGATCAAAATCTAGCGGAAATTTGACGAGATCCGCAAAAATCCGCTAATAATTGCGCAAGGAAAAGGATAACATTTATGCGGCTTGTTGATGGATTACCTAGAATTGATGGTTGAATAAGAAAACAAAATTATCTTGGGGAAATCGAAATTGAGAGAACTCAGGGAAAATTAACAAAACTGTGGAAAAATAGGCAGACATCAAGTAACAAGGTATTTTAAAAAGCTCGAAAAACCTGAATATCTAAGAATCTTCTGTTTTATTCGTCTCAAATCCAATCTCAATCCCAAAAACCGCAGTTTTAGGGATTTTTTGATATTATACTTGATAAAAAGTCTTACTACCAGCCAACCTTCTATAAAATCGCTAGAAAATCAGTTTAAATTTTAGCACTAGACCGTGTAGAGCCTATTACAGCCATCTCCTACCCACTTTCCTTTCAAATCCCCTAAAATCCTAGAATGAGACGAAAAGCCACAAGATTATCGGAAAAGGGCGAAGTGTCCGCGGATTTGTTTGGCGCTTTTCTCCACAAAAATATTTTCGCCGGCTCGCCAAGGAAGCACATTTTAATATTCGGGCCAGCGTGAAGGTGGTGTAAATAGAATGTCTTCCAAAGTTCGGAGCCGCCGGGTCGAGATCAAGGAAGAGCCCATGCCCACGGAGGTGTGCTATTGGTAAGATTTTCCTGTTTTCTCTGAATTTTAGGAGTTTCGACGAATCTTCTGGCTGAATTGTAGTATAATACTCGTTCTTTCAATCGATAATTAATTCGAGATAATTGCAGTAATGGGAAGAGAGATTTGGGCACAATGGAACTACATTGTAATGGGTGCAAGAAGTGGTTCCATCAGAAATGCTTGCGCTATCTCAAGGAATTGTATGTTTTTCTTTGGACTTTTGGGTGTTTAGGTGGATTATGGGCTGGTCCAACTGTTGAGAACTGAATCGGAGTGCAATCTGAGTTTTTTTTTGTAGTTAGAGCTGTTTTATCTTACACATGAGAGCTGATATTGAATTCTTAAATATTTTATGTATTTTTAGTTATGGCTTGCCGTTTATGGTCTGTTATGTCTTTTACTGCGGAGATTGTGCCAGTGACAAGCAAGAAAGTTGGACAGCCAAGCAGTGCAGTAAGTTTCTTGAATTGTTTTTTCTGGTTTTAGATGAAGACATGGTTAATAAAAATTATGGATACGGATGGACCCAAACTGATGGGCTTCGCTCTCATTGGTCTTTTTATTTCCTTGTGGGACTTCCGAGCCGCAGAAGACTTTGTTTTTATAAAGAAGGGAATCCTTTTCGTTCAAGTGTAATATAATTTTCCAGATTTTTCCCACATGTGTCTGATGGCATTGGCCAATATGATCGTAAATAAGGTCAAAGACACTCACGGTGAGGATGCGGATCTTGCCGACATCATCAAGAACTCAGATCCGATCTATTTTGATGTGGACAAGGAGATTATCCCATTCTTCGAGGAGAATTGGGAAAGTTTGTCGCCGCTTCCGCGCCGCGTCAAGAACACATGGCACGCCACAATTGTGAAGACCCTGTCCCAATGTACCGATCTGTTCGTGCAGCATGAGGATCGGGAAGCCGAGTTTACGCTCAGAGAACGGGATCTTTTGACGATCGGGCCGATGCATAAGGCCGTCAGACAGGTGGGTATTTTCTCAAAGTGAGGTTATTGTTCAATGTTTAGCTTGGAAAACGACCGGCAGCCAGTCAAGTGACCAGTGCGGCCGACAGCAACGAGGATTCGGATGGGCCCAAGACGAGGGGCGCTTCCAAGAGAAAACAGGTCGAAAATGTGCTCACTCCGGCCCCGAAACGATACAGAACGTAAGGATAGATGGTTTATTAATTCCTCAATCGGATGAAAATCACAGAGCGATCAAATATTTCGTGGACGAAAAGAATTTTTTTATTTTTATGTTGATTTAGCCTAAAATGTTGGAAAAATGTCTGAAACTGGATGTTTCAACGAATGTTTTGGCGTTTAGTGGTTGTTAATGGAACCATTGGAGATTACTGAGTATTATAGACTTTATTTTTCTTTCAAATCCATCTTGGATTTATATTGTTTTAGGGACTTTTCTCATGTCAAGGCGAAAATGAAGTATTTTTCGCAAAAAAATCTACTTTTTCTTGGTTTTTGATGTTTGTTCAGCTATGTTATGGTATTTACTGTCTTATAGGTATATAATGAATTTGATTTTTGTCCGAATTTTGCCATCTTTGGCGATTTTTCATAATTTTTTTACCTAAAATAATATTTTTTATGTCCTCTAAAATAACATTTTTCCAGCACCGGCAACTCAGACAACACCCCACTCAACGAAGGAGTCAATGTGAACGCCGAGACCCCATTCAATCGAGGAGAAATTCGATATTATCCAGCAGAAGAGGACCCATTCTCCGGAGAGAAGTAAGTTCTCACCCAAAATTTTTTATTTTTCCGAATTTAGAGCGAAAGGATCCCGCGATTCGGAAGCCAGCGATGATTCCCAATCAAGAGTGGTCCACCCGGCCAATTATCGGGTTGTTTTACCGTCCGTTGTCATGTTATCATCAAATGATCGTGCATATCAGGTGGGGGTTTTAATTCGGGTTTTTTGGTTTTTAGGTGATTTTGAGAGATTTCAAGAGCGGATTGGAGTAAAATACGGTTTTTGGCACTCAGAGGTTACTGCAATTTTGGATTTTGAGATTTCTTGGGTTATCCTGAACAAAAAGTTTTGATTTAAAATTTTGTGGGGCTTTGGAGCTTCAGGGATTTTTTAAGGAAGTTTAGTATGAGAAATCGAGGGTATAGGGTATTCGTCCATTGGAGGTTACTGTAATTTTTTTGTTAAAAAAATTTTTTTTTTATTTTTTTGTTGGTAATTTTGGACAATTTTGTTGTAAATTATGGTAAAATACGTCCGTATAATTTTACGTTATCTGAGTTGTATGTCTCATACTAAAATTCAAGTTTTCCCATAAAAAAAAATTTTTTTTTGAGGTTTTTTGAGAAGTTTCGAATTTCGTGTTTTAGCTTAAAGTTGACAACGACGGACTCACAATCACCGGAAATGGAGGCTACGCCATGGCCAGAGCCACTCATCCCGTCTCCAGAGGCCGATGGTACTTCGAAGTGGAGTTTGTGAAACAGCCAAACGACTCACATATCCGGATTGGATGGGCGCAAGGATGCTGTAAGAAGAGTTTTTAAATTTTTTATTTCGGTTTTTTTCTGAGGGCGTTGTTTAGTGGTTTGGAGAAGTTAGAAAATTGATTTGGCCGTTTTTTCGATTTTGTTCAAAAAAAAAATTTTTCGGCAAAAAATCTCGAAAATTTGTGAAGTTTGAACGCTAAAAAATTACTATGCGTGTGAGAAAATGCTGTTCTATAGTTGCGCCAATTTTTATCGAGATTGAAAAAAAATTTTTTAGGTACCTAAAATAATTTTTTTACGATTTTTTGCCTTATTTTTTAAAATTTTTGAAAGTTTTCTAATGTTATTTTTGTTTTTCGTCTAATTTTCAGCCCATATTTTCCATTTTCAGCCCCCCTCCAAGCCTGCGTCGGCTACAGCAAACTGTCCTACGGCTGGCGCTCCCTAAAAGGCACCGCTTTCCACGACGGCTACGGCCACACGTACGCCCCGCCCGGCTACAAGCAGGGCGACATCCTCGGCTGCCTGATCGACCTCCCCGACCTGGAAGCGCAGCTGGACGGCGGACGCACAATAGGCTCAATTCTGCCGTCATCCCACAAAGAGGACTTGTTGATCAAGTTCAAAAACCACTTTGTTTTCCAAGAACACGATGATCCCCAGGTCGCCAGCCTCAAGCTCACCGAACTCCCGGGCAGTAAAGTGAGTTTTTTAGGGAGTTTATCGAGTTGAAGAAGAGGTTTAAAGGGGAATAACGCGAAAATAAGCGAGTTTTGGGGAGAAATCAGGATTTTTTGACGAAAAAATGAATTTTTGGTATTGTTATATACTTTTTTTGGCCGTTTTTGAGTGGTCTGGCAGTTATATTGAATGAAAAATAGATTCAAAGTGTTTTTAGATGGATTTTAGTGGCGTTTTTAACTTTTTTCGGAGCGGGGATTCGAACCCGCAATGTTTTGAATGGCAGGCTAACAACTTACCCATTGCGCCAAAATGACACATGGCCTAAAATACGGCCAAATAAAAATTTGAATATTTGTAGAGTAATTTTAGACCAATACACGTTATAATTACTGTATTTTACCATCCTTTACGATTTTTGAAAAAAAATTTTCTGGTTTTAAAAAAATTTTTTTAGATTGAATTTTTCCTCAACGGCCGCTCCAAAGGGATCGCTTTCACCGACATCTACGAAGGTGCCTATTATCCAGCAGTTTCGATGTTCCACGACGCCACAGTCCGCGTCAACTTCGGCCCCAAGTTCAGGTATCCAATGCCCAAAAACACTCGTCCCATGGCCCAAAGACCCGACGAAATGGCCATAGAACAGTGTCTGGTGGACCTCTGCGACCTGGTGAAGCATCAGCATGAGGAAGAGGCCCATCGGATCACCGCCATCCCCGAAACGACGGATTAATTATATTGTACTTGATATCAAGGTGAAGATTTAGTATTTGTTCGTGTTTAGTTATGCTCTGAGTATGTCCAAGACAATCAGAATGCTGTACAGCAACAAATCTTATCATTTCTTAACGTTTTTGTAGTTTCAAATTTGATGTATAAAGCAAATTTGAAAAAAATTGGTCATCAAACAAATTTTTGTCGATTTTGGAAAAACTAGACGTTAGTTAGTCGCAAATTTTTTTTGCAGATTGGTAGAGAGCCTGATAATCAAGGTTCGAATCAATTTTCACGTCATAATGACGTATTTTACATGTCATGATGACATATTAAATATGTCATCGTGACGGCTATATATGTCATCGTGATGATAAAAATTAGTTACTTTGGGCATGTTGAGAGTTTTCGAGTTTAACATACTTATTTACAATACATAATTTATTCGAATATTCCACAACAGCATGTTACAGTACCCCAAAAAAAGAAGATTACAATCCCCTTGACATTTCATCCAACTTTGTGAATTATATTTGTCTGTTACAACTGAAATTCTCATCCGTTGTCACGTTTTGAATATGGAAAATGTCGAAAATAAAATGCTGCAGTTGTTTGGAAAATACGAACGATTTTTTGTTACAGTAACCGGAAATGGTGAATTGGATTGTAGAAGAACTGGAAAAAAACTGTTGGAAGTGTTAGCCAAAGATTTTCTGGGAGATCTGCGATATTGAACGAGATTTTTTCGAGAGAGTATGGGAAAGGGGGAGACGACAGAGAAAAGAAATGTTTTTTGGCTGTAACTTTTGGAATTGCCGTCGAAAAAAAATGGTTTTTTGTGTAAATGTTTTGAACCTCATCTCTAACAGAGTCTGAAAATTTCGAATCGAAAATAAAAAAAAAAAAATTTGGGATTTTTCATAATTTCGGGGAAAAAATCTCGGTGATTTTAGCTAATTTGATGGCAGATTTTTTTAAATATGTGTTAGAAAATGTTATGATAAAGATTTGATCAAGTTTCATTGTAATTCAAATGATAAAAAATTTTTTTTTTTGAAAAATCGAAAAAAATTCACCCAAAAATCGGTTTTTTTCTCAAACATTCTATACAATTCCCTCAAAAAATAAATTCCATAGGCGTTCCTGCTCCCAAAATTCTTCGATTTCCACTTTTTATTCGACATTCCGCCGCCTGACTCAGCGCGGCCGAAGGAGGAGCGGCCGAACAAAGGCTCCGAGAATAAAGTAGTAATATTCAGGTGTTTTCACGTATTCCCCCCTTTATGACTAATGTGATATGGAGCGCTTTGACCCACTTATTGCGCCCACCCTTTGAAACTTGTTTTTTTGAGGCGATCTTTTGTAGACGTCTCATTTTTTACGTCATGAAAAAATTCCTTTTGGCTTTTTTCTCTGCGATGTCTCATGGGTTTGTATGGTGTTTTTCGGCGATGGGAAAGTTTGGGGGTTCACGTCGAAACCTAATGGTTTCAACCTTGACGTTCAAGCAGGTGTTCTCACTTTTTGAACTGCGAAAAAGTGGGGGTTTCAAGGGCTACAGTAAATATTTTTTTTTTAAATTTGTTTTACTATCAAATTGCCTCATATTAAAAGTATTTTTCCCAAAAAATCAAAAAAAATTTTTTTTTTTATTTTGGAGGTACCCAAGTGTAACTCTCAAATTTTCTTCAAATTTTACAAGTGCACTGTAAATAGGTCACATATCAATCCCAGAAAATTTTAGCTCACAATTTGCAGGGAGAGCCGATATATTCAACGAGCTTTTTTGCGAGAGAGCACGGGAAATGAGGAGAGTCAGTCAGACCAAAAAATATTTTTTGGCAGAAATGTTTTGAACTTTGCTCGGGAAAAATTGATTTTTTGTAGAAATACCGCACTTATTCTCGTGAGGTGCATTCAAAAAGTTTTTGGCCAAATTTTTTGTCTGGCCGACTCTCCTCGTTTCACGTGCTCTCTCGCAAAAAAGATGGTTGAATATCTCGGCTCTCCTTAAAAATCGTGAGCTAAGATTTTCAGGGATTGATATGTGGTCTATTTATAGTATACTTGTAAAATTTGAAGACTATTGGAGAGTTATACTTGTGGTACCTCGAAAATAAAAGAATTTTTTTTTGCTGATTTTTTTTGGAAAAATAATTTTAATATGAGGCAGTTTGATTATAAAACAGATTTTGAAATTGTAAAACAAATTTTTGACCACAAATTAAAAAAAAATAGAAGACAAGTTTGGGGTACCCTATAAGACAAAAAATCTATATAATTTTTGAAGACCAAAACAAATTTTCACCCCTTTTTAAACTATAATATCAAATTTCACAAGAATTTATTTTAATCCTCACGCATAATGAAGCCTCGTTGAGCCGAAATGTTTGAATTATTACTATTTTTCAGTTGAATCCCGCCCCTTTTCGTAATTTTTTGTATAATTTACCCTTTCACCTTTGACCCTCTTCAAAGAAGTGTTATTTCGAAGGAACGTGCTCTTTCTGACATTATTCATCCAATTTACGAACGATTTTATATATAAAACTGGAAGTGAACGTGTTATCAACAGTATAAGGGGGTTTTTTATGAACTTTGCGGATTTTTTGGCTGTACTTTGAAAACGACGCGATAAAATTTGACAAATTTAGTATCTATTTGATCTACTTGCCTTGTTTGTAATTTCCAGACCCTTTTTTGACACCATGCCCTAAGGGGATTTTAGAAAATTGCAATTCTTTGGAAAAATCCGTCAAAATTTTTTGTTTTTTATTTTTGCTCCCAAAACTTTTTGAGTCGATTTATAAAATTACGTTTATCCTAAAGTAGAATGTCTCTGCTGTCCAACAAGGTACTTTTGTTGAATTAGACCCATTATTTTCCGAGTTATAACCAAAAAAGTGAAGCTAACCCACGCGGCCCCGCCTTTTTATTTTCGCTCTTTCGTTTGGTGGGAAAAAAGAGCGGAGAGGGGTGTGCAGCTTTGTCCGAGTGGTTAAGGAGTCAGACTCGAAATCTGATGGGCTCTGCCCGCGCAGGTTCGAATCCTGCAGGCTGCGAATTTCTTTTTTGAAATTTTTAGTGATCTTTTTTTGGAGAAAGAGTTGGCATGTTAAACTTAAAGAAGAATATGACTTACCCTCTGTATTTTGCAATCTTTTTGGGTCTAAAAATGCCAAAAAAAGTTGTCTAATTTCTCATTTCTCTCTAAAAAACCCAATTTTTAAACAAAATTTTTAAATTTAACCTCTTCAAAACCCATGAAATCACCCATTTCACCTTCCCAAATGGCCTAAATTTTATGTCAATCACCTGTTTCCTTCCAAACCAAAAAAAATCAACTGCAATTACAATGGGTTTGCTTTTGGAGAAATGAGAACTTCCATCGAATTTTTTCTCGGAAAAAAGTTTTGTAAACATGAAAACAATCCAATTTTTCACTTGGAAAACATAGAACATTGCTTTTATACAATCCAATTCATACCGTGAAATTGGTTTCAGATTTTCTTGTGATATTTTTTTGATTTTATTTTTTCATAAATAAAAAAAAAATTTTTTAATTTTTTTTTCATTTTCAAAAAAGTTTTTTTCGATTTAAAAATTTTTAAGTGACCTCTTAAAAAATCGAAAAAATGGAGTAGTCTTGAAAAGTTGGTTTGGAAAAAAAATTTATTACAAAGTTTAAAGGCGTTCATCGCCATTCATCGAACTGTTTTCTATTTGTTTTTTCGAATCAAAATTTCCGCTGGCATCTCGATTCCCCATTGATCTCTTTGTTGACTTGCTTAGACGACGGTTTTGTGGTCTATAATCGGCTAATTTGCGAAGGATTGACGGAATTTTACTGTAAAATTTTTGCTGTGTTTTTGTGGAAAAGTGCGAGGAAGTTGTTGAATTTGTAAACATAGAGGCTGCAATTTATTTTTTTGAAGAAAAAATCTTATTTTTCAAAAAAAAAAATTTTTTTTTGAAAAATTTGAATATTGTCAGAATTTCTTGAAATTTGCTATATTCGCTCTAAATATGCCACATATTAATCCCTAAAAATTTTAACTCATTCTTTACAAGCGCAGCCGAGATATTCAACGAGCTTTTTTGCGAGAGAGCACGGAAAATGAGGAGAGTCGGTCAGACAAAAAAAATTCAGTGGTTGGTTTTTGGCCTGTTTAGAATGCGTATGGCAAATTTGGAGGTAATCGGTGCGGGATATCCTCGAAAAATTTGGATTTTTAGACAAAAAATGGGCTAAAGAAATTTCGAAAAATTTTGTTTTCGCTTTTTTCACTCCAAGGGTTGCATTGATCAACCTTATTTTTGGCAAATCCTAGAAATGCTCATAAAATCATGCTTGTCCGTTCACAAAGTCGCTGAAGTAATTTTTTTCATTTTTTTTTTTATTTTTGCACCGTGCAAAAGCTATAGGCTTTTTTGGGCTGTCGCTCGCGGACTAGTATGGTTTTATCAGCATTTTTTGATTTGTTGCGTCATCAAAAAACAGAATTTTTATTCTCACTCTGTCGGTTTTCCCGACAGACTGATATTTTTGGGATTTGAAGTCTGTCGGGAAAATAATGTGGATTTGTCGCGCCTGGGAATCGCCCATAATCGTTAATAGTCGACGTTTTTCCACACCAATCAGTCTAATCAGCCCTTCGCCACACAAAAAATATAAACTTTGATTCAAGTGGGCGGTCAAAAAAAAAAGACTGGCACGCAGGTATTTCCCAACAGTTTGATCGCCGCAAAAAACCCCCCAATTAGGCCGGAAATTGTCCTTGAACGCCGAATACCCTCCGGGTATTCGCGGACACGGCTTTTTTTAAAGGTCAAATAAATTTTTTTTGGCGTGGCGCGACGGTCAAATTGGATAAAATTGGGCGGAAAATTTTTTTGTTTTGATAGGTAAATTTTGTTAATTTGAGGGGTCAGGGTTGATGAAAATTTCGGTGATTTAACTGTGAGTTTACGCAGTAGAAGACTTTGTATTTTTGATCAAAAAATTTTGAAAAAATTGAAAAAAAATTTAGGTACCTAAAAAAATTTTTTCTCTTTGATTTTGCCGGAACTTGACATAGTGTTAGAAAAGTATTCCCTAAGGCAATTCTGAAAGTTTCAGCGCGCAATTTGCAGAAATAATCGAGATTTTTCGCTCTAAACTTGGGAAAATTTCAATTTTTTTTGTTCGATTGTTTGCCTAAAAATTTGAGGAGTTTTTTACACTAGATATTTTGTATAATAAATTTTTACCTCAGCTCTAGAAGAACCAGAGATTTTCAGATCAAAATCCGAAAAAAATTTGAGATTTTTCCAAATTTCGACTTAAAAATTTTGATTATTGCTGTAAAACGTATGCTAAAAATTGCAAATAAGTCTTAAAAAATGTTTTCCTTATTTTTTAGTTGTAAATTTAAAGGGAATCATCGAGATTTTTAGATCGAAAATTATTAGCATTTCTTTGCACCGTGCGTTCTGAAAATTTTTCGCACAGTGCAAAAAGTTTTTAAAAAATCTCACTTTCGCACAGTGCAAAAATTTTTTGAAGAACTCTCTGCACTGTGCAAAAATTTAAAACAATCAAATTTTCGCACTGTGCAAAAAACAAATTCTTTCAAAAACTCAAAGTTTTGCACGGTGCAAAAAAATTTCCAAAAAAAAAAACTGTCGCACAGTGCAAAGAAATTTTTTTCTTTCAAAAAATCTTTTTTTGCACTGTGCAACAAACATTTTTTCCAAAAAGTCTGATTTTTGCACAATGCAACAAAATTCGCCAAAAGCTCAAATTTTCTCACCGTATTTTCTTTCCGTAGCTTGTAACTTCGACCACTGTAAACGGGTGGTCATAAAGTCTATTTATGGGTTTACGTTCATCCTTGATCCCCGAAGCGCACCCGAAAGTGCATTGGAGGTGTGATTGTGAAATGGATGCCATCACATGTAGCCGTTCTTTACGAGCGCAGGTTAAAAATCCTCCCGTCAAATTTTTTGTTGACGTCAATAAAAGTTGGGGGTAAATAGGAACAGCCTCCCACATAAAATAAGACCGTTCCTTTTGTGAAATTGTCGCCGAAGACGGGGTGGTTTAATGACGTGGGGGTCAGCAACGAAAAGTTTTCGAAATCTGCTCTGATTGGCCTAGGATTGGGGCCATATGCTTTTATGAGATTTTTATTTATTTAGGTCATCAAAAATCCAATTTTTTACTATCCGTTTGTCGGGAAAATAATGAGGACTCTTTTGCATCTTTTAAGTATTTTAAAAATTAGCGAAGGCACGGAAATACGACCAATAACTCTTGGCAAAGAAAACTAACTTTAGTAATAGCTAAAATTGGAAAAAGCTTATGGTAACTCTTTGCCAAGTCTCCGCCGAGCCTTCGCCGAGCGTCCGCCGACCGTCCAACGGCTTGGCCAGGCCTTCCTACAACCCGCTCAAGAGCCAAAAAACAGCTTGGCGACACAATTTTCAGACCTAGATTTGTCTCAAGTTTTACCCAAATCTGAGCGCTGCCCTTGGAGCACTTCCCTTTTCAACGACGTTGGGGTGGTCGATGAAAAGTTTGTTGACAATTTGTTGACTCAGTTTTGCAAGGCTAGAGGGTTTTAGCTGATTGTAATTGTAATTTTGTGTATTAGCAGAATGTTTTTTTAAATTTGCGTTTAAGGAACTGTACGCGACTTAAGCCTTTTTGTTTTTGTAAGAAAACGTCGTCGCAAATGAGTTATCGCAATCTCTTTGGGAGTAGCATTAACTTGTTTTGCATTACTGTTTTGACCTCTCAATATGCTGAAGCTTGGTGCAAGTAAAAAATTAATTAAAATCGATGGCAACGCGCCGTTTTATACGATGAAACCTGTGTGAAAAGTTTTTGGACATGTTTCATCGTATAAAATGTCACTTTTTGAGAATGGCTGTAGAGATCTTACAGTGGAAACACTGTCTTTGTAAAAAGCCGGTATAGCACTATTTTATACGATGAAACCTGTCTGAGAAGTTTTTGGGCATGTTTCATCGTATAAAATGCCACTTTCTGAGAATGGCTTTAGAAGTCTTGCAGTGGAAACTTTCTCTAGGCAGAAGGCCTGCAAAGCTCCATTTTATACGACGAAACCTGTCTGAAGGGTTTTTGGACACATTCCATCGTATAAAATGTCATTTTCCGAGAATTAATTTCAGCGGAAGCACTGTCTTTACAAAGGCCGGCAAAACTTTATTTCATACGATGAAGCCAGTCTGAAAAGTATTTGGACAATTTTCACCGTATAAAATGTCACTATGGCTTTTCTGGGAAATTTAGAGTCAACATGCCAAACTTTACGAAAATCCAAACATTTTTTCAACTCCCACTTTTACCCGAGCGTTTCAAAAAAAATCTCGGAATCTCCCGTCCATTCGACCTTAGGCGATCCCACGTCAACGCAGAACGAAGAGGTGACAAAATCACCTTCACCTTCCTTTCGGGATATAAAGACGGCGTTTTTTTCTCGGATTCTTGACGTAAACCCCCCGGGGATGAGCGGTGATTCGGGATGGAGAAGGTCATTAGGTCAGGGGAAAAGTCGTACTTCGGCTGATTAGTCGGCAGTTAGACGGATATCCGTGTGATTCCAGAGGGTAGCCAACATTTGCTGTGGTGAAATTTTGAATTAGCTGTTTTGGGGCAAATTTTTATTTTTTTTTAAATTCGCACCGTGCAGAAGAGTTTTTGGCATTTTGCACGGTGCGAAAATAGTCTCCATTTATTGCACAGTGCAGTGAAAAAAGTTTAACTCTGTACCATGCAGAGATGTTTAAAACTTGATGTTTTGATCGGAAATTGCATTTTTTTCCTTTTTTTGCATTTTGCGTTCCGAAAATTTTTCGCACCGTGCAAAATTTTTTCAGATGATCGAATTGCCGCACAGTGCAAAATTTTTTTGAAAAATCAAATTGTTGCACTGTGCAAATTTTTTTCAAACAATCAAAATTCGCACGGTGCAAAAAAATTTTTGTTGAAAAAATCTCGTTTTTGCACAGTGCAAAAGACAAGTTATTTCAAAAACTCAAATTTTTGCACGGTGCCAAAAAAATTACTTCAAAAACTCAAAGTTTCGAACGGTGGAAAAATTTTTTTTTTTCAAAAAGTGTCAATTTTGTGCAAAAATAATTTCCATTTATTGCACAGTGCAGCGGAAATTTTTTTTTTCAATTTTGCACTATGCAAACAAATTCAGAAGAATTTTTCGATTTGCACTGTGCGGACCCAAATAAATTTTCATGCACTGTGCGGAAAAAATAAAAAGTTTTTTTGCACTGTGCGGAAAATACAATAAATTAAAAAAAATTTTTTCCGTATTCCGCGATGATAAAACCTTGATTTTGATACAAAATAAAAACATATTAAAATTTTTCAGATTCCAAAATGAGTCGGGTCCGTTTAAGGTCACAGCCAGGCCTACACCTCGCTTTGTTCGCCATTTTAATTTGTCCGTTGGAATCTCAAAACTTTTTCGATTGCGCCACAGCTCCCGGCGAACGTGAGTTTCGAATTTTTTTCCCTCAAAAACCCCCAAAATTAGTTGCAAAGTTGAGGAATTCGCAAAATTGCGGCAATTGTTTATGCTGTTGACAAAAAAGGGAATAAATAAAATGTTTGTCAAGCATCGTTTGACGTGGTCGAGGGCTCTTAAGGTGCGCAAATGGCAGGTCAATTCGAGTCCAAAGTGATGGGGAAATTGGGCGACCAACAGCTGAGGGGGAGAAAAGTGTAAAAGCGAAACATTCGTGACTTGTGCAACAGTTTGTTTGGATTTTTAGACAACACAATTTGATCAAAGAACGTTGAAGGGTCAATTAATACATTAGACCATATACCTTTCAAAAAAACCCTCTTTATAACCTCCACAGATTCGTCATATAACAAGCTAGTATTTTTCGGGATCGAAATTGACGTAATTTCTGCAAATTTCACACAATTTTGGAAAAATGCCGTTTTATACGATGAAACCTGGATGAAAAGTTTTTGGACACGTTTCATCGTATAAAATGTCACTGTGTCAAAAATTAAATTGAAATTGATGCCATTTTTGAAATCTTCACATACTTTTGGAAAATCGCCATTTTATACGATGAAATCTATATGAAAACTTTTTGGACACGTTTCATTGTATAAAATGTCAGTTTCGAAGGATGTCTGTAATTTTTTTGTGATAGAAGTCCTTTTTCTGCTAAAAGTTGGCAAAGCCCCCTTTTTTATACGATGAAACCTGTTAGAAAAGTTTCGGACAATTTTTATCGTATAAGATGTCACTTTGGTTTTTTGGAGTTGTAGCAGTAGTATGGGCTATATAAGAAACTTTTGTATAACAAAACCTCTCTACAATGAACAATTTCAAAGGTCGAAAGAGTCAATTTTAGGCCAATGAACCTTCGTACAACAAAGCCCTTCTAAAACGAACAAATTTTTAAATGCCTTGCAATTCATTGTGCAGAAGATTGACCCTATGCACCTTAGCTAACATTAAAATCTAAAAAATCAAAAAAAAATTATTTTTTTCGACGAACGAAATAAAAATTCGACATTCCAGCCTGGCGAACGATATGTCAGTCGTTGGTGAATTGGGACGTGAGCGCTCGACAAATCCAACAACAGCAAGCTCAACTCCAGCAGAATCGAGTTGTCGCGGCGCCCGCCGTCCCCGAGCAGCCGTGGCTGTCGCCGGCGGTGCCGCAACAAATGGCCACGCAGCCACAGAGCTGCATGGACTTGGACTGTCTTTGCGCTTTCATGCAGGTAAGCCAAAAATATCTCCTATGTAATGAGAGGGTTTTTGAAAATAAAAATTATGACTTTGTCGGGAAAATAATGAGCATTGTAGCATCAAAAATCGTCGCCGAGAAAATGAATCGTGTTGCGGAGAAAATCAACTTGATTTTCACTTGAGCGACGAGGATCGGCGCAGCGACATTGTGCTCATTATTTTCCCGACAGACTGATATTTTTGGAATTTGAAGCCTGTCGAAAAAATAATGTGACCTGGGACCGCCCATCATAATTATTAGCACCTTTCCGGCCATAAAATCCGAAGAATTTCAGGGTCTCCGCGGTCCCAACAACCAATGTCAACTCCGCAGCGGCGGTGTGCTGCAGAAAGCGATTCGTCGCGAGATCCGCACCCTCTCCGACGCGGAGCGTCAACGGCTCTTCCAGATCATGCAGCAGCTCAAGAACAACGGCCAATACGACGCGATGAGTTCGGAGCATCGGGCGGTCGGCTCCTCCTCGGGCGCCCACTCCGGCCCCGGCTTCTTGCCCTGGCATCGCGAGTTCATGAAGCGGTTCGAGATCAGTCTGCGGCTGATTGATCCAAACCTGGCGTTGCCGTACTGGGACAGTGTGATGGATTCGTATTTGCCGAGGCCGGCGGATTCGATCATGTTTTCGAGTCTTTTCATGGGCGAGGCTGACGCCTTCGGCCAGGTGGTAACTGGCCCGTTCGCGGGATGGCGAACATTGGAGGGCAAGGCGTATATTCAACGGTAGGTTTGTTATGCGCAAAGAGCAAGTTGGAGATAAATTAGACGGCTCCGAAAAAATTTGAATCTCTGTACAACCACTCGCAATGGACCTAAAAATTTGCTGGTTATAGGAGGATTTCGCTGTGTGGAAGCTCGTTTTGGCCTAAGCGAGACTCTCGAGGCCTCTGTAATCATTTATTAGGCTTTTTGAAAGTGGTATAATACCTTTGTATTAGAGCTTTTACTAGAGTTTGCGGTGAACCTATGTACAGAAAAACCTCTCTTTAACAAACAATTTGGCAAAAAACGAGCTAATATTTTTTGGGACCACAGTCGACATCATTTATCGCATTTTCACGACACTTTGGAATAGCCCCATCTTATACGATGGAAGCTGTCTGAAAAATTTTTGGACATGTTTCATCGTATAAAACGTCACTTTTGGAGGATAACTGTAAAATTCTTGCGGTATAACCTCTCTCTGCAAAAGTCTGGCGTAGTCTCATTTTATACGATGAAACCTATCTGAAAAAGTTCTTGGGCATATTTTATCGTATAAAATGTCATTTTGATTTTTTTGTGAATGGTACCTATGGAAACTCAAATTTTTCGTAACAAAACCTTTCTGAAACGGACAATTTTAGAGGTCGAAAGAGTCAATTTTAGGCCAAACTGAACTTCCGTACAGCAAAACCCCTTTATAACAAACAAATTTTTCGGTCGCCTGCGATTCGTTAGAAATGCCTTTGACTGTGTATACGGCCCCCCAGCATATCGTAAGCCTAAATTTTTCAGCGGTCTAGCGCGAGAAGGGCGTTTGTTCAACGAGAACGACCTGAACAACGTCTACCGACAGACCCAAATCGAGCAGGTTATGGCGTTCACCGTGCCCGAGCAGTCGTGCCCGTACCAGCCCAACTTTGGCGCCTTGGAGTACACCCATTCATCGGTGCACTTGTTCATCGGCGGAGATATGAAGCCGCCGGTGACGTCGGCCAATGACCCGGTCTTCTTCTTCCACCACTCGTTTGTGGACTTGATCTTCGAGAACTGGAGACAAATGAGACAGTCGAGATGGGCTAGGGAGCAGGTAAGCGCATGATTTTTTTAAATATGCCGCAACCTACTAGACAATACCAAGGTATCGTTCTATGCGATGAAACCTGCCGAAAAACTTCTTGGGCAAGTTTCATCGTATAAAATGGGGCTTGAAGGTCCGCTATAGAGAGAGTCCACTGTAGCGTTGCATGAAGAACTAAATAGACATTTTATACGATGAAATCTGTCCGACAAATTTGTCGGACAGATTTCATCGTATAAAATGGTGTTATTCCAAAAATAAATGCGAGTTCAACTTGCTGTACAGAAGTCCCAAACAAAAATTTCCACTGGCGCCCTACGCAAATAATCAGTGTGTCATTTCATACGATTAAACCTGTCCAAGAAATTTTTGAACTGGTTTCATGGTATAAAAATGGTGCTATCCCCAAATCGTGCGGATGTAGCAGAAATGACGTCTATTTTTGCACAGAAGCCCTAAGCAAACATTTTCCAGTCCTACCCTCCTGACATTCCCCAATGCTCCAACCAGCAGCACTTCTCCAACGCCATCATGCGTCCCTACCAAATCACGAACCGGCAAGGCCTCTCCAACGCCTACACCGACAACCTGTACCAATTCGCCGAACGCCCCAACTGCAACAACAACTGCGGCAACTCGCCCTACTTGTTCTGCGACAATCGGGGCAACGCGCACTGCGTCTCCAAGGTGCGCATGAACGGCCTTTGTCAGGGCTTCGAAGGCTTCGATGTGTGCTTCCAGGGCGTTTGCCGCGGGGGCGTCTGCGTTCCGGGCCAGCTGCAGCGCCAGCAGGACGTGGAACAGCCCACCACACGGCCACCGATCATCACGGCGGCGACGCAACGCGTCGCGGCGACCGTTACGCGTACCCCCATGGCGAACTCGTTGCGACATTCGAGTGGGCAGAGCTTCAACCGAACCTTCGACGGGCTCCTCAATAATGGGGGAAATGTCCAAGCGCCGATGCCAAATATTCCAAGGGGACAGTCGGTAGGTTACATTACAGTAGTCATTGAGTTGAACATAGTAATAATATGTAGAAAAAATATGATTTTGCACAAAGTGATTGCGGTGAGAGTGAGCTTCCGATAGTGGCATCATTTTGAACGTTGATTTTAAAAAATGTCCAATAAACGCTGCACTTTTGACATGTTTTGCACTTCCTCTTTTTTTGCTTTTTCTCACATCTAACCCCTTTTCAAACACTAACATTTTCCACGGCTTTCTTCATCGCCTTTTCAGCGCCGTCGCTTCCGCCGTCCTCGGCCCCGACTCCCAGTGATGTCGCCTTTTCCCCCACCGCCACCAGCCCAGCCCTCTTTCCAGCCGCCTTGGCAGCAGCCACAATTCGTCCCGCAAGTCGTGCCAAGAGCACGACAAACCCAGCTTTCGCCACCCTTCAACAACGCCATCCCCCAACGACGTCGCTTCAAACAGCTGCGCCAACGCAGTCCGCTGCGCACGCTGCGGCAACGCAGCTCGAGTGGCGCGGTCCGTATGAAGCGCATGATCGAGAGCATGCATATGACCATGCTGGAGGACAATGTAAGGCATGCTATGCGGGTTGTTTTGCAATGTCGGTGTTGGGGGAGCATTTGCATTTCATTGTGCTTTTACTGTAACGTTTTCAGCCGGTTTTTGTGGCTTTTCAGGCAAGTTAAAGGAAGTAAAAACTTCTGATGACAATTAGACATGGCTCCCAGACAACTTTGCCGTCATTCTCCAAAAAGTGACATCTTATACGATAAAACGTGCCCAAAACTTTTCAGACAGTTTTCATCGTGTAAAATGGCTCTTTTCAAAAATTATGTGAAAACCTAAGAAATTACGTAAATTTGGATGTCATTTTTTCTTGAGTTACATTTTATACGATAAAATAAAACTGTCAAAAAACTTTTAAGACAAGTTTCATCGTATAAAGTGGCCCCTTTCCCGCGGCAAATATGCTTACACATGGTCGAGTGGTAGTCAGGCCCGGCCTGGTTAGGCCCACAAGTGTATAACAACAACTGACTGACCTTTGCCATTTTTATTCCATATTTTGGAGCCGAAAAAAATCACGATAGCGACAAACTTCAGATGTCGCAAAAACCAATTTTCGCCAAAAAACATTTTTTACCGCCTTTTATTCCCCTGCCAACCCTGAATCATCGTTTTTTCAGCTTAAAAATCCTGTGAAGCCGGCGGCGAACATGACGCTGGTCACCGCCAACTGCTTCAACGACGATCCCTGTTGCGGCGCGTGGTCCGCCAAAGCCGAATGCAACGCGAACCCCATCTTCATGAAGCAGTATTGCCGGCGCTCCTGCGGGGTGTGCCACTCGAACGTGACGGAGGTGGAGGGCTGCCAGGACCGGCACATCTCCTGCCAGTACTGGAAGCAGAGCGGCGAGTGCAGTCGGCGCCGCCAATGGATGGCGGAGAACTGTCGGCGCAGCTGCGGCTGGTGCAACGTCAGCGAGAAGCAGCTGTGTCAGCATGTCGCCATGATGAGTCGGATGTGAGGGCTGTGGGAATTGAGTCCGTTTCGGGTCGTGAAGACAATTTGTTTTGAATTTTTTTTTTACTATAGTCATCATATCAGTTCAATCTTTTAATTAGCCATTTTGCTCTTTCCCACACCGTTATTTTCATTGCCAAATCCAACAAACTTGGTCTTACTACCGGTAATTTTGTGTTTTAACTTGTTTTTGTTTTACTACCCGTTACGCGTCACACGTCAAACTGAGGATATACAGGGTGACCCAAAATAACGGAGAAAACTTTTTGAAAGGTCCCACCGCGAAAACCGGGCGTCAGAGAAACACAATCGACAGCGGGCAATATTCTATAATACCCTCTCAACAATCCATGAAAATTTGGTGTAATCATCATGTCGCAGTAAAAAGTTACAGCTTAACAAAGATGCCTTGCACCGTTTGTTGGCCCTCAACTTTGGTTCCTTTGTGTTGCGTAGAGCCTGGCTGTACTACGGCTGCAGAAATGACAAGTCATACTCGAGTGCGTTTTCCGCGTCTTTTCTCAGGCTTCCCCGTGAAATCAAGACGAAAAAACCGATGCCAAAGCTCTATTCCGGTCACCGGGCCGCTCAGTTACTCCTCAATTTGACGTTACCGTTTTCTCTGCAAGTTTGACTTGCAATCGCTTGTTTATCAGTTTAGTTTATGTCTTTCTTCACATGACAACGTGAGCCATTTCAACGGTACACCTACTTTTGAGTCGCGCTTTTGAAATTAAAACAAAAGATAGCCGCTGCGTCAGCGCGCTTCAAAAGTCTAGTACCTTTAATATCGTAATAAGTTTCACAGTAATAAACAATGAATTTACATTCTGTTTGGGCAATGTTTGTGTGAATGAAATGGGCGTGGCTTACAGACAAAGTGCTCGGACGCTCGGATTGTAATTGCGAGGCGGAACGACCGAACTTCGAGCCCGAATTCCCACGGAAATCATCGTTTATTATTCAAATTTGATTGCACTTTCCTACGTGGGATTTCCCTATAAGGGCCGCTTTTCACTCGACAAATCACTTGAACCCGAGCTTCTCGTCTTATCGTGTGGTTGTCCCCCGGGCCTCTCGACAGTAATGAACCTTGAGACCAATAACAATTTATTTTTTGCTCGAAATATACGACATTACCAGCTCGCGTTTTGTAGGAACAATCGAGATTTTCCCGTTCTATATATTTGCGGCAAAGACCGTTGAAGATTTCGCCGACACCGGAAAACTGCGAGCTAAAACTTTCGGACATTGATGTCAATGTGTCGGGAAAATACTGAGCGCAACGTCGCATCGAACATCGCATCGTCGAGAAAATGAATTGTGTTCAAAATCAACTTGCTTTCCATTTTAGTGACGCCGGACGCGCAGCGACATTGTGCTCATTATTTTCCCGACAGACTGATACTAGTCCGTTCGTAAAGTCGCCGGAGTGATTTTGGGCCTTTACACTGTGTAGAAAAGGTCAGAGTGCGAGCGATAACGATGAATTAAAACCTGCACTGTGCGGGGATCGTCCGAACTTTTGAGCACTAGCAGTAATAAAATGTTTTTTTCACTTGTAACTTGTTGAAAACAGACTTAATAATTTGCCGAAAATACACGGATAAAGACAAATCTTACTCCAAATCATAAAATTTGGTGTGAGCGACCGGCCAAAAAAGCCTATTGCACGGTGCAAGAAGCAAAAAATTGCACGGTGCAACGAAAAATTTTTTTTCATATGTAGCCAAAATCTCTCCAACGACTTTGCGAACGAACTATCAGCCTGTCGGGAAAATAATGAGCACAATTTCGCTGCTCCTATCCTTGGTGCTGAAGTAAAAAGCAATTTGATTTTGCCCCTACACCATTCATTTTCTCAGCGGCGATGTTTTCGATGCGACAGATTGCTCATTATTTTACCGACAGACTAAAATAAAGCCTACTGCAAACGCCGGTGCAAGACTTAACGGAAGCGTCGCACTTCAGCCCACGTCAACTCAGCCAACTGGGCGACAACAACGCAACAAACGCGAAAAGCGGTGAAAACACAAGCGGCGACAACGCATAGGGGCTCATGATAACGCCGCCAAGCGCCATCGGCGACAAGATCAGGGGATTCAAGACGAAGGGCGACAAAATCAACGGTCCCCCGACGGTGGGCGAGAGAATTAGAGGGGCCATGCAAAGGGGCGACAGAATGATCGGCGTGAACACCAGCGGCGACAAAACATATGGATTAAGGAGGATTGGGGACAAGATCAACGGGTCGAAAATGCCGGGCGACAAGATTACGGGATGCAGCGCGAAAGGTGTCAAAATGATCGGAGAGAACGCGTACGGCGACAGGACCAGACAACCGAGAATTCGAGGGCTCAACACCACGGGGACGAACAGCCACGGCGACAACACAACGCCTCCCAGAACGGCGGGCGATAAAATGGCCGGCGTCAGCACTAGTGGCGACAAAATCAGCGAGTTGGACGCGATATCCGGCCTTCCAATGATGGACGTGAGCACGAACGGAGACCCCACGACAAAGTCGTTTTGTCGCAGGTTGAACAGGTTCGCGTCCTCGGCCGCATGCCGGATGTTGGCCTCGAGATAGTCGTGCAGTTTGGAGTGATTCAGCGACGTTAGGCGCCGATGGGCTTCCGAGTCGTTGTAGGGAGAATGAGGGCCGTAGAGCAGGTCGAGTTGGGCGTGGGTGAGGAAGGAGTAGCCGGTGGTGTTGAATTCGCGAAGCTGAAAGGGTTGTTTTCAATATATATATATTTTAACGGTAATAAAAAAGATTTTTTCAGACTGTCGGGAAAATAATGGGCACTCTGTCGCATCGAAAATCGCCGAGAAAATGAATTGTGTCGCGGAAAAAATCAAATTGGTTTTCAGTTCAGCGACGACGATCGACAACGCCATTGTGCTTATTATTTTCCCGACGGACTGGTAAAAGTCATAACAGCGATATAAACAATTTTTGAATCGCCACATTTACGGCTTGCGGACGAAATGTCAAAAAAAATATTTTTTTTGTCGCCAACCACGAAAAAAAAAGTATGGACAAAATTAAAAATGGTTCAATAATTGTTAGCAAATACGCAGAATGTTGCCATATTTTTTTCTTTTGTTAATCGTCAAACAGGTAATGTACTACCTATGAACATTTCGTCGATTTCCAAGCCGTAACACCCCGGCTAAACAGAGAGCTGTACGTCCTTTAACTAGAGGTGGAAAGCGGGCCGGGCCTGACGATGATAAGCGTTCTGCCAGCGTCATGCATACTACTAGCATTTTTTTTAAAGTGCATGGACTTTTCGTCGTTTGCCGCACTGTGCAAGGAAAAAGCAAAAGTTTTTTGAAAATTCGCGAGAAAGCGAAATTCACAGTGCAAAAATCCAGGTACTTTATGAAAGTCCTAGCAGGCGTTCTCCTAGCCTCATACGACAACGAATCGAGGCGAAACGGTTGAGGTAAAACCGCTTACCTGATCCTTGCTGTAACTCGCCGCCAACCTTCTTCCAGTTTCTATCTTCCTTTGCTCTTCTTTCCCATATTTTTCGGTGATATTGCCCTCTGTCCAGTACAGAGGAACCCCATTTTCATTAACAATTTCCCTCTTATATTGCTGCATGAAATCCTTGGGCTCTTCAACTTCCTCGACGATCTGAAAAATTGGAAAAACTGACAAGGGAAGTACCCCAAGTGCGACGCTCAGATTTTCTTTAAATTTTGCACACGCGTCGGGAATAGACTAAATATCAATTCCTGAAAGTTTTAGCTCGCGCTTTGCAGGCGCCGCCGAGATATCGGACGATTTATGCCGCCGAGAGAGCACGCTAAACGTGGAGAGCGGTCAGAGAGAAAACACCTTTTTCGCCATAACTTTGGCAGTTTCGCGCGGAAAAATTTGATTTTTTGTAGAAACATTATCCTTTACGGTAGAAATAGACATGAAACTTTTCGTGCTGAAATTCGGCAAAAAGTCCGAAATTTTCGCCGACTTTCAATCTAAAAATCTCGGTTGTTTCTGCAAAGCGCGAGCTAGGATTCTCGCATATATCTTAGAAAAAATTATTCTAAATTTGGGCCAAGTTTCATCAAAATCTGAGCGTCGCACTTGGGGTACTTCCCCTGTGAGTGAAATTCTCACGCTTTGCAGGAACGACAGGTATTTTTTGCCCAATTTTTCTTACCTTCCGCACAGTCTCTGCTTGATCGTTGACGCCGGAAACCTCCATGATCAAGTTCAGCCAGAGGTCCTGGTCTTTTCCAATCACATTCTTCAACAGTGTTGGCAACGAGGTCAAGTTCTCGAGGCCCTCTCCTTGATTGTGGAGGGCAAACAGCGATGGTGAGAGAAATTCGAGCTAAAACTTGGCCATTATTTTGCCAGTTTTTCAATGGCCTGGGCAAAAACATAAAAAAAATACTCACTTCATTTTTCTCCTTGGCCTCAGGCACAAGTCCGAAAAATCTTGGCGACATCAACTTCATTGATTTGTCATCAAAATCGTCGGTTGAATTTTTGGTCCCATTTGGCGACATCATGTAGGCTAGCTTCAATCCTTCTCGAATCAGGCCAAAGATCTTCTCCGAGGTGTCTTTCGGCTTTTCCTTTCGTTTTTTCAGGTAATCACGGAGCTTCTGCTCGTCTTTGAAGACGTCCAGCAGCTGAAAAAACGGAGAATATGTACATAAAAATTTCAAGAAAACTTTAGCTCGCAATTTTCAGCAGTTGCCGAGATATTGAACGATTTTTGTCAAGTACTACTAGCCGTTCCAGAAAGTACGTCAAATTTTTTTGTCAAAATATCAGCGCCTCTCTTTCCTACAAACAGTCTTACATCGACGTCACTTTCTTGACCTTTCATGACATGTTTCTTCAGGCCGTTTAGCGATAGTTGTTGTAGCGTCTCCTCGCTGACATCTTCGGTCTCTTTTCTCTTTTTTGAACGCAATTCTCCGACGTTTTTCAATTTCTCCACCGTTTTCTTCCAACTGAAAATAGCAATTGCATTAAGACATATATATAAAAAAATAATGTTGTTAGAAGTTCATGTCGCTAGTGAGTTCACTGCACCTACTCATCAACGTTTGTTTTGTTCTTCTTCTTCAGCACATCCTCCATAATGACTCTGGCGATCGCTCCCATTGGAGTGGGTTTCTCGATGTTGCTGTGCAACGCGTAGTAGGCGCGTTTGTGCGACCGTATGGCCCTCTTCCTGCGCGCAATCTTGAAGCCATTCTTCCAGCGTTCGTTGATGCTGTAGCGGTAGCGCTCGAAGCGGCTGGGCCGGTTGGGATGCTGAAAGAAAAAGAGGATAAGGCGCTATGTCGTATTGAAAATCGCATCGCCCAAAAGAAGATGAAATGTGTCGCGACAAAATCAAATTGCTTTTCAATTCAGCAAAGCCTTTGGTGCAGTGACATGTGCTCATTATTTTCCCAACAGTCTGATATGAGGCCTGAAGCAAACAGCTGTGGAAAACGCATAGGGGCTCATTATAACGCTTGCACGCGGCATACAAAACCAGGTGGGTCATACAAAGGGGCGACAAAATGATCGGCGTGAACACGAAGGGCGACAAAATATGGGGATTGCCGAGGATCGGGGGCAAAAATCAAAGACCTGTGCTCATTATTTTCCCGACAGAGTGATATTAAAAATTACCTAGAAGTCTCCTTCGGTCAAAAAATCAGTCAATATATTTCTCCTTCACTTACATGCACTATATCCCTCAACTTGGGCAAAATCTTGTTGTCCATGAGGCTCTTCACGCATTTGGCGTGCTTGTGAACCGAGTCCGCCTTGTCCGAGCACCGCGCAAACTCCTTTTTCACCAGCTTCGAGGGATGCTTTTTGAGCTTACGGTCAGCCACGGCGGACATTAGCGAACTCAACGCCGTCGCCACCCATTTCTCACGCAGCTCCAGGGCGTGGTGGTCGGTGATTGGGACGTCCAAAACCTTGCCATCGAAGGTTGTGCGGCGCGTGTCGTCGGTGGGAACGGTGGATGATTTCACCGGGCCTGATGTCGTTGATACAGTAGGTTTTGAGAGTTTTAGTTTCGGGCGATGCTGATGGAGACGGGGCAGGGAAACTGAAGTATGAGGAGATATAGGAAAGGAACGTAATTTTTTTGTTTTAGTTGCTCAAATTTCTTTTAATTTTGCACATATTTTGAGCATAGTTTACGTACATGTATAAATCCCTGAAAATTTTAGTTTGCGCTTAGCAGCTATCACCAAGATTTGTAATCTTTAGGGGTACTGAGAGAGTACGCGAAATGCGGAGAGCGGCCAGAGAGAAAAACAACTTTTGGCTACGTCTTTGCCAGTTTTGAGCAGAACGAGTAATTTTTTTAGACGTTACGTTGTTACGTTCAGCGATGAAAGCAATTTGGTGACTTTTCATGCGTAAACTCAAAAAAGAACTGTCCAATTTAGGTAACAGTTCGACTCAAAAAACCCGGTTGTTTCTGCAAAGAGCGAGCTGAGAATCTTGCAGGTGGACTAGAGACCGACACCTGATTGTGAGGGTAACAGGGTGGAGATGGAAAAATTACTATGAAATTTGGAAATTTGCCGACATTTGCGGGCAACCGGCGTTTGAGGATAACAAGGTGGAGGTGGAAAAATTACTGCGATATTTTGGAAGTTTTCCGACATTTGCGGGCAGGCAATACTTGCGGGAAGCCGACATTTGCGGGCAACAGTTCCAATAGTTCCAATACAATCTGTATGATTGTTTTTTCCTGTTGCCCGAAAACGTGAACCTGTTCATTTTCCTTTGAAAATTTCATAACCAGTGAAATGGTTCAATGTTTTGTGAACCAATTCAAAAATTGACCCCCTTTCCAATCAGCTTTGAACTGATTTTGCAAAAAAGGCGTTCAGCGGAAATTCTTAACGCCTTTTTGCAAAACAAATTCGCAGAGCCGATGAAAAGTAAAGACCCTATATGTATAACTTTTTGAAAAATAATTCGCCGTTGTACTTACCCACAACTTCCAACAAAATCATACCCAAGACGAAATAATAGTTTACACAGCGCATACTCCACGCTGTAGACCTCAGCAAAATTTAAACAACTGTTTTTTTAGCGTTGAAATAAATAACAATTTACGTTGCAAACACCCATTCCAACCGGCGACTCCTAACTACGCAACGACAAAAGGTTTTATTGAAATGTCGGGTTAATTTTTGCTCCATTTTTTCGCGCTTTTCCCCAAATTGCGCCTACTGTAATTGCCATGCGTTAGATGTTAAAAGATTTGCGCCCCCCAAATAAGACAATTTTCGCGGGTTCAACTCTTTTTTTCTGGTCTTTGAACGCATGGAAATGAGTGGCGTGGCGAGTTGAGGTCGGATGTGATTTGAAAAAAAAATTGGTTTTTTGGTCTTTACTATAGTTTCGGAAATCGAAATTTCGAGATTTTTCGAGATTTCTCGAAAAAAACAGTAAGATTTTTTTGTCAAAAATTTAAAAATCTCGAATTTTTTCAATTTTTAATTTAAAATTTCAGCCTTTATTCTAAATGACGTCAGTAATTTTTGCCAAAAATGGCTTTTCCAACCATTATTCGCCAAGCCATGCAAAAAAAATTTTTTTTTGTCTAACCGACTCTCCTCATTTTACGTACTCTCTCGAAAAACTGTTCAATATCTCGTGGTTGATCGAGTGCTCTAATTTTTTTAGTGATTGATAATTACTCTATTTGGAGACTATATGCAGAATTAGGGGAAAATCTGAGCACCATGCCTCAGGCAATTTCCAAAAAATCATGGATTTTCAAGCTTTTTGAAGCCAAAAAAGTCATGGATTCAGTTCATTTATCTTCAAATAAAAATTTTATACAATAATTTTCTATTTGGATACCAAAATTCGTCGAAAAAATCGGAAAGAAACGCCCAATTTGACCTTCCCCGAATGCACCCTCTCCGTTTTTCCCGCCCGAAAGAGAATGGAAAGAAATAAGCACAGCGCTCTCCCGTGGGGGTATAGCTCAGTGGTAGAGCGTCCGCTTTGCATGCGGAAAGTCAGGGGTTCAAACCCCCTTACCTCCAAGTCCCAATTTTTTGTGGTTTTGGGGTAAATTTGAATAAAACGGTAATTAAAAAGCATTTTACAGTGTAGATCACTTGATTTTTTATTGGAAAATCTTCAAAAATTTTTTGATTTTCCCTGAAAAAATTGATTTTCATCCAGTTTTTGGGGAAAAATAAAAAAAATTAGTCGTTTTATGCAAATTTTTGCATGAAAAAATACTTCACAAATACGAATGAGTGGTCTATTTCATTTTTTCTTGACCATAGATTCAGTTCGGTCCAAAAAATTGAGTGTTGATCAAGCGGCATGAAGAAACTGTTCAAGGGGAAGGACGATCAGGGCGAGACCAAGAAATTCGAAGCCACTCCGGTCGCTCTGAGGTCCAAATCGCCCGCACCCCCACCGCAGGACATTGTCGAGTCCAAGGAAGTCCAACAGGCCAGAACTACCAAGGTAAAAGGTTGGAAATTTTAGAAATTTACAGGGATATAAGCATCAAAACTTTGTTGCTTAAAAAAATTTAAAGTTTTGAATTTTGCAATGTCTCGAACAAAAAGCCGAAACAAAAAACAAAAAAAATTTAATTTCGAAAAATGAATTTTTTTTGCGATTTTTTTTGGATTTTTTAAAATTTTTCGACTAAACAATCTGGGCGATTTGTTCGAAACGTGAGTTAAAAATTTTTAAAAGGAGTTTTTAAAACTTTATTCTAAATTTTTGGACAAGTTTCACCAAAATGCGATATCAAAAAAAAAATTTTTTCAATTTTCAAATTTTATTTATTTATTTTTTTTTGATTTTTTTGGTAAACTCCGAGTTAAAAAATTCAAATGAAAAAAATTAAAAAATTTTTTTAGAAGGCCTGGCTTTCCAACTTTTTTCGAATATTTTTTTTGAATTCTTAGAAATTTCCGGCCTAACAACCTCGGCGATTTGTAAAAAACGCGAGCTGAAATTTTGAAAAATGCCTTCGAAAATTTTATTCTATATCTTTGACAAGTTTTATCAAGATCCGATATCAAAAAAACATTTTTTTTTCGTATTTTCAAATTAAAAAAAATTGTTTTTGATTTTTTGCTAAATTTCGAATTAAAAATCTCAAAAAACTGTATTCTGATTTTTTCCATTTTTTCAAACCATTTTTTTCCATTTTTTAGGTCAAAGCCTGGCTTCAAACCATCATCGACAGGCTTGTAAAACAATGGACTCCGGCCAAATCCCAGTCCCTCTTCAGCGAATCCGAACTGGTCGAGTTGTGCTACCGAGCGCGAGAGACTTTCTGGATGGAGAAGTCGATGGTCTCCGTAAAGGCGCCGGTCAGTATTTGCGGCGACATTCACGGCCAATTCGAAGACTTGTTGGCCTTATTCCGACTGAATGGGTTCCCGCCGGAGAAGAAATACGTCTTCTTGGGCGATTATGTGGACAGAGGACCATTCTCGATTGAAGTTGTGGGGTTGTTGTTCGCGTATAAGGTGATTTTTGGATACTTTTGGAGGCTTTTTGGAATTTTTTTGGCATTTTTTTGAATTTCTGCGATTTTTGGGGCTTTATAGGAAAATTAAAAATTAAAAAAAAATTTTTTGAAATCAACTGGAGTCTTTAAATCATTTTTTTACTACCGATTTTTTGTCGGAAAAAAATTTTTTTAAATTTTTTCCAATTTTTTTAAAATTAAAATTTTTTAAAAAAAATCGTGTTCAGGTAATGTACCCCGACGATATCGTCCTGCTCCGTGGAAACCATGAGTCCAGACCGGTCAACATGCAATATGGGTTCTTTTTGGAGTGCAAAAAACGATATTCCACGTCGTTGTACGAGGTTTTCCAATACGTCTTCTATTGCATGCCGTTTTGCGCACTGGTGGACAAGCGTATTTTGTGTATGCATGGTGGAATCAGTGAGGATTTGAAGGATTTTGGGCAGGTAAGCGGGAATTTTTAGATGATTTTTTTGTGAAATGTGGGGCGCAGCTCGCGGGTTTGACAAAAATAGGAAAAAATGATTTTTTTGAGTGTTAGAAGTCATACGCAGCAATTTTATAAACTCGATTCGCTTTAGCCGGTTGAATACAGACGATTTTCAAAAAAGGCAGGGCGCAGCTCGCGGAACTTAAAATTCGCCAATATCTGAGAAAATCGAAAATTCCTGAGTGCGAATCGTCATACTAGGACATTTTAAAACATTTCTTGAAATTTTACTCCAGCCACCACGAATTTTAAGAGTAAGCCAGGGCGCAGTTCGCAATTTCAAAAACTTTTATTATCTTGGCCAATTTCAAAAAAAAATTTTTTTTTTGGAAGCCTAAAATTAACTTTGAAGGTAAAAGAAACCGGTTGCTTAAAAATTCCCACTTTTATCGCAAATTTTCGCTGTAACCCAGGGCGCAGCCTGCCAAAATAAAAACTTGTCCAGTTACTTCAAAATTCGTTTCAGATGGACCGAATTGAACGTCCTTGTGATATTCCCGACCTCGGCATTCTCGCCGATCTCACTTGGGCCGATCCCGACCCAAATATCGAACTCTACGAGGACTCGCCGAGAGGTGCGGCTCGAGTCTTCGGCGAAGCCGCGCTGGAAGCGTTCTGCAAACAACTCGGCCTGGAATTGATTGTGCGTGCGCATCAAGTCGTCAACGATGGCTATGAGTTCTTTTGCAATCGGAAGTTGGTCACCATCTTCTCGGCGCCCTATTATTGCGCGCAGTTCGAGAATGCGGCCGCGATTATGAATGTCACCAAGGATATGGTGAGTTGAAATTTTATGGAGAGGTGTTTGAAACGCTAGAATGAACTTCTATTTAATGAAATTTCGATTTTGACGGGTTGGAACAGAATGCCAAAATTGGCGGGAAATTTGAATTTTCTGGAAGTTTTGTCAGAGATTGGATATGCTACGAGGTATTTAGAGATATTTGTTTGTATTTCACTTATTTTTTACTCATTTTCAAGCTACTACATCGCTTTTCTGCCCTTGAAACGTTATGCCAAAAATGGCGGAAATTTGAATTTTGAGCCAGGTTTTTTAAAATATAGTCACGGCTGAGCTGTTTAACTCGTATTTTACAATTTTTATGACATGAAAAAACCCCTGCATCACTTTTGCAACCCTTAAAACAGAATGCCAAAAATGGCGGGAAACTTGAATTTAAAGCCAGATTAATGGATCGAGCTGCGATCTGTGACTCGTATTTTAAACTTTTTATGACATGTCAAAACCTCTGAATCACCTTTTGACCCTTAAAACAGAATGCCAAAAATGGCGGGAAATTTGAACTTGTCTCAAATTGCACAGAAATGTTGTTTCAGGAGATCAGCTTCACCATTTTCCGACCCCGCATCAAGAACAAGAAGAAATTGACCACCAGAACCGCCGAATAAAATACGCTTCTTTTGTGGAATACGAAATAAATTTGATTAAATCGGGTGTAAATGTAGATATCAATCCAGATTATTGCTGTTTGTTTATTTTCCAAATAAAAATTTGCTCCAAAAATGAGAAAAAACAGAGATTAAAATTGAAAACAAGACAAAAAAATTTTATAAAATACATACACGTTTTTCAATTCAAGGGGGAATGATTGATGACTATAGAAAAGATATAAAAATATTAGTAGAAAAGTAAACTGATGACAAAAAAGACCGATATTAAATATTTTATTTATTAAAAATATTCGAAAAAGACAAAAAAAAATCAAAATTCAAAAAATTTCAAAATCGAGATATTGGCTCAAAAATCAAAAAAAAATTAGCACCGGAGGCCCTGAGGGTGAAGAGAAATGGCTGTTGATTAGAGTGGAAGACAATTTGAATTCCGAAAATGCTCTGAAATACGACTAAATTCGAGGAAGCACCGAGGGATGGCGGATTATGGCCGGAGTTGCGATTTTTGCTCTCAATTTTTTACAACGACAGTTTTCGTTGTACCACCATGTATGTTCCATAGCAGACATCCTGTGGCCGATCTAGGAGCTGTTTTCATCGAAGAACACGGGCATATTTCGACTCATATCCATGCGCAAAAGGGCGGTGGTCGTGCCTTGAGTGGAGTTGCTAAACTGAGATCCGGTAGCGGTCGAGGAGGACCTTGCGCTCTCGTAGGGCGACCCGGAGGACACGTTGGACGCTGATGCAGACGAGGGCTTGTGTTGGAGTTGAGATGGGGTTCGGAGTCCGACCAGCGACGGGCAGCGATGTCCGTGTTCGTTGCAGATCGGGGATGGTGGGGGATGGCACTGAAATCGAAAATTCGGTAAAAATTCGAACAAAAAATAACAAACCAAAGATATACTAGGAAACTAGAGGCCTTATACTACCTATTACAAGTCAAAGAGATCAATAATTCTAGTCGAAAATACCAGTTTTGCTCGATATTATTTTAGACATCAAAATGTCAAGTGAAATATCAAAATCAAATTTTCTCCAAAAAATCGACTGGAGAGCATCTAAAAAAAGCCGTAATATTAAATTACCATTCCTCTACTACACCTAACATTCAAAAAATTAAAACAGTTCCCTTTAAAAATAAATTTTTTCTCAATCCTATATTAGACATCAAAATTCCAAAAAAATCTGAAGTTTCAAAAAACTAGTGCCAAACCACTATCGCAAATAGCATAAGAATATTATTCTCACTCTCTGATTCTTACTACAGCCTTATCTATCCACTTCACATCCAATTTTCTCCCAAAACATCCAAAAATTTACGACTTTCCATGACCCACTTCTATATTCCACTTGCTCCCAAAAAACCTAAATTTTTACCTCATGCATGCACATCATTCTCTGGCCGGGATGCTGAAAGTAGGCTGCATAATTCTGCATCTGGCATCCATACGAATCGGGGGCCGGGGGCGGGGGATATGGGGGCAATTGAGCCGAATGATATTGCACTGGGTTCTGCTGGTAGTGCTGCGCGTAGAAGCCGCAATAATCCGCCGGGATCGTGGCGTACGTGTGGTCGCAGTAGTGGGCGTCGTGTACGCCGCCCTGGGTCGCGACATAGGCTTGGGTTTGGCAATGGAGGGCGTGGAAATCGGGGATGGCCATCGTTTTCGGGCCGTCCTCCATGTACTGCACGATGGAGGTGGATTTGGTCGAGTAATTCGGTTCGCAACAGTGGATGTTGGGCACTGAGCCTCTGGCTTGGACCGCTGGGGAGAAAATGGAGTCCTTGGGGAAGTCGGTGGCTCCGAAATTCTTCGACTTTCGGCAGAATGAGGTCTGGAAAAAATTTTTTTAATTTTAGGTAATACTCAAAAAATCTCATAAAATTCATGTCGAAAAAACAAATTCTTACTATTAATCAAAATTCCACATCATCTAGAAGCAAAAATTCCCAAAAAAATTAAAAAAAACCCCAAAAAAACTTTTGCTCAAAAAATCTCAAATTTAATGTTCTACGCTCACAACACCTCCAAAATAATTACACTACCTTTATTTATCCAAATTTTGCGATTATAATCCAAAAAAAACAAAATTTTCAAAAAATTTTTTTTTTACCAAAAATCCCAAATTGAATTTTTTTCGTCCTACAACACCCCAAAATTGCCTTTACCACCTTTTCAAGTCCACTTCTTACCTGTCCTTTGATCAAAAAGCTTTTCAGCGTATAAATTGCCAAAATGGAATTCGCGATTACAACGGTCCACATGCAGGGTGCAGTCCACTTCGTGACGAACATGTATGTCGCTGAGACCAGGAAATTCACAATCAACAAGAATGGGGCGGTCTGGTAGAGCGTTTTTCGGACGGCTCTCACTTTTCCGGCGTCATTGCGGCAAGGTTCGTATCCCACGCGGCGATGTTTGCACAACAATGCCACAATTGTGATGACGAAAACGCTTTGAACGATGATGATCACGAGTAGAGGGGAGAGACAGTTCCACAGCGGCGGGGTCCACAATTTCTGACGGCCTTGCAGGGCCATGTGGAAATTGCCGCACAGTGCGGCCGAAAGGGCGGTGATGAGGGCGGGGACGGCTAAAATACGACAAATTAGTCACTAAATTTTCTAAAAATGTAAATCGACGCTGAAAAATGCATCCCAGAACTTTTTAAACTTAAATTTTATCGCACAGTGCAAAAAATTTTTTGATTGCACTGTGCAAAAAAATCTTTTCATTGCACTGTGCAAAAAAAATTCGACCGCACAGTGCGAAAAAATTTTTGATTGCACCGTGCCAAAAAAAGTTTCGATTGCACTGTGCGAAAAATTTTTTTGATTGCACAGTGCAAAAAAATTTCTAACCGCACCGTGCAAAAAAAAAGTTTCGATTGCACTGTGCGAAAAATTTTTTTGATTGCACCGTGCAAAAAAGTTTCGATTGCACAGTGCAAAATTTTTTTTGATTGCACAGTGCGATAAAGATTTCTAACTGCACCGTGCAAAAATTTTAACTGCACTGTGCGATTTTTTTTTTGATTGCACAGTGCAAAAAAATTTCAAACCGCACAGTGCGAAAAATTTTTTCGATTGCACCGTGCGAAAACAAAATCTTGATTGCACAGTGCAAAAAAATCGTAACCGCATAGTGCAAAAACCAAAAAAATATTCTTTTCAAAAAAAAATTCTCTCCAAAACTTCCACTTACCATATCCCACCAAATAATACATGCCGGTATTCTTCTGAATGGGGGTTTCATTCCCAAAAATCCTCATGATTGTGTGGGCCAGGACGAAAAGTTGGACCAGAAGCCAACAAACCGCGACAAGGCCGGTGAATTGAATCAAATAAACGGTAAATACGGTGATCGTGGAGTTTTTCGGAAGAGCGAACCAGGCCGTCAACAGGATTTCCAGCGCGATAATTGCGGTGGAAAAGTTTTTGGGGATCAAATTGGGTTTTTTGGACTCGGACAATTTCAGTCCGATGAGAAAAACGGTCAATCCAATCAGGGCGATCACATTCGAGGCGTACAGAGCGATCGTTTCTGTGTTGAATCCAAAGAAAACAGTCTGAAAAATGGGGAAATTAAAAAAAAAAAAAACTTTTTTGAAAATTTCACCTCAAAATTGCAAAAATTACAAAAAATTTGTAAAAAAATCCCAAAAAAATCGAAAAAGCAACATAGAACATATTCAAAGGCCATATACCGCAATATTTTTTCAAAAACACAAACAAATCTAAAATTTTTGAAAAAATCCCAAGATTTTGAAATTTTTTGGTCTAAAATAATATCCAAACCCCACCAAATTCTTCCCAAATAAATTAGAGGTCGTGTAATATATATTAAAACCAATTAAACACCTTTTTACCTAATAAAATCCAAAAAATTAAAAAAAAAATCAAAAAACCGGCCTAAATTCCAAATTTCTTGTCTAAAACAATATCCAGAGCCCCTCTTTATTTCCAATTCGACCTTAAACTTTTTCTCCCATCCTCTTCTTTCCATTTCACTCCAAACCGCCCACAAAAACCATCAAAAAAATTTTTAATTTTCAAAAATTGTAATTTCTTGTCTAAAACAATATAAAAAGCTGCTCAAAACAAAAAAATCTCCATCCTTACAACCTACAAAGCTCCCCCAAAGCTTCTCAAGCCCTTTACAATATAAAACAAAAACAAATCACCACAAACACTCACTTTTACCTCGCAGGTCGACGAAATCACCGCGAAATGGCCCACTCCTTTGCATCGGCAGATGGTTTTGGTCTCATTATGCACCAGCATTTCACAATTCTGGTCGTAGACAAAGTCCTCAGCGTCTTGATCGAATTTTGCGCAGTACGGGTAGGGGAAATTGGCCGATTTTTTGGTGGAAAAACTCAAAACCATCGGGATTTCGGTCAAAATCGGGGATTTTTGGGAAGAATGGGTTCTGCGGGCCGCGTAGGTGCTGATAATATTCGAAATCACTGTTCTTGAGCAGTCTTCTCGCTCTGGGTTGCCTTCGGTGAGATGGTGGTGCGGTTGCACAATGAATGGGGCGAGATTTGCGACCGAGGAATAGGCGATCTCGAAGCTGTCTAAAATAAGGTAATAAGTTATTGAAATATATAAAAATTTCAAATTTTCTTTTTCTAGCATCTTGATCATCTTATTTACTCTCTGTTTTACCAAAAATCAAGATCTCAAAAGGCCGCTTTGATATCAAAATCGGCTAAAGTAACATCCACCTAAAGTAATATCCCCAATCTCTCATTTCCCACCCAATTCCCGAAATTCCTTTTCTATCATCTTACATACGCTCTAATTATCCTGTATGACATCAATTTACCTATCGAAGATCAAAATTTTCTTCAAAATAACCCAAAGTAATATACCGACCTCCTCAATTTTGGTCAAATATCACAAATTCCTCGTTCATCACCTCATTTAGATACTAATCATCCCATTCACCCCTAATTTACCTTTTTACCACCCACTTTTTACAGAAAAATCGTCTAAACTAATATACCAAAAATCTCAAACTTTTCCAAATTCTTCAATTTCTTTTTTCAAGACCACAAACAGGTCCTGCTCTCTCTATTCCGCCTAAATTTCAAAAACAACAACTCAATTCCAACTGCTTACCCTCCAATCTTCTCGCCTCTTCCATCAATCCAAACAAGGCCCGATCTTCCACATCAAACCTCTCCAAGTATGGGAATTCAATGTCAGAAATCGGTCTGAGGACCGAAATAGCTCCGATCACATAGGGTCTGGCCACAAATGGGGCGCGAATTGTGTCGGGAAAGGGGACAGATTTCGCGGCATTGTTCAGTGTTCGTTGGATTGTCCTGAGAAGGCGGTATGCGGTGGACCTCTGCAGTTCGTAGGGGAGATCCAGCCAGGCAATTCGCATGCCCAGCACCCCATTGACTGTTTGAATTGTGTCCTGGAAAAAATTGAGGATCAAAATTTGAAAAAAGGCCTCAAAATATTCAAAAAAATCTCATTTTCAGCCGGAACAAAGCAAAATCTTCAAAAAATTATTACTCTCTCTACTATTTCAGACCCTCTACTTTATCTCAAAATCCAAAAAATTTGAAATACCATCGCTTTTCCGGTCGAAAATCGCAAAATTTTCCCAAAAATCTCGACCAAAATTTTTCATCGTATAACTTGTCTTCCACGGCTTCAAATTCCAAAAATTTACCTTTGCCGTGTCGCTGAGTTCCTCTCTATTCAAGGAGACATCATTTCGCGAATTATGGAGTTGGATTCTCTCCAATAACAGGGAGATTTTCACGAGATCTCCGGCCACCAACGAGGAGGTCACCAAACTTTTCAATTCCTGATGAATGAACGCTGGGACAAGCGAATCCGCCGCGAAATATTGTTCATTGTCGTCTTTGAACTTGATAATCGCGTCGGAGACGCATTCGGAGAGGTCGGCGTTCCGCTCCCAGAAGCCGTTGTCGTTGCAGCGGCGTTTCGCGACGCCTTTGTAATCTACTGGACACGCCGCCTTTGCCAGCTCATTGCGCTTGATCTGAGGCCATTGCAGGAGGCGAACACTGTCATATTCGGCGGCACAGGCTGTGTTCTGGACCTCTTGCAAGTGGGGATGGTCAAGGGAATGGGGGTTGGTACTGAAATTGGGAATTTTATATTGTACTTGACATCAAGTGGGAAAAGTGATGGTTTGTATGAATTTTTGACCTCAAATGGATTAAACCTGCTTACAGTTGAAGCGAAATGCCTCAAGAAAAATTTCTAATACAATTTTCCTTCAGGTTATACATGAAAAAATCAAAAATTATCTTATACTTGACATTAGATAGAAGGTTTTTAAAAAACTGATGTTTGACGGCAAAAACAATATAACAGCAATGCCAAACTCCTCAATTCGATAACAAATACTTTCAGCTACAATTTGAATGACATTTTCGTTCCGAATTTCTTCAAAAAATCACAAAAATTATCTTATACTTGACATCAAGTCAATGATTTTGAAAAAACTGATATTTTATGTCAAAAACAATATAAAAAATACCCCAAGGCATGATTCCTATAAAATTAAATACTCCAATCTCCATATAAACGCTAATTTTAACCTTCAATTTAACCGAAATCCATCAAAAACGCTCAAATTTATCTTGCACATGACACCCGACAAAAAAAATCCAAAAAATTCTTCAGAATCCCAACTTACACCGTGTATCCAACCTTATCCGAGTTCCTGACCCCACTCCCATCGTAATCCTCGGGCGCAGCCTCCTCACCCGGCGCTGGTGTTGTAGTTGGGGCAGCTGCAAAACGGGAAACGATTAGAACGCTCTTATTACTGAATGCCGACTCAATTCATGTGGAATCGAATTTACAAACAGGGTCCTCATGTGCTATTGTCCTCTCCGAAGATGAGGGGAACTTTTTGTCGGGGGTATAATTTGTTTTTTTCGGCCTTTTTTGTGGTTTTTCCGGGTCAGATTACAATTTAATGGGGAGATTAAGGGAAATTAGTCAAAATAAAGGCCGTAAATTAATTAAAATCACTTTTGTGATACTTTTGGAGTGATTTATAGCCAAAATAACCAAAAAAATTTGAAAAAGTTCGCTCAAAAATTAAAAAATTTTTTTTTCAAAATTGCTAAAAATCGCTGTCAACTCACCAGTAGTAGTCGCAGGAATACAACTATACTGAACTTCGATATATTTCGGCGTGTCTGGACAAGCGTCGCCAAAAAGTTTAGCCGACGCCGTAAAATTACAGCTATTTTGGCCGCTGCACAGTTCGTCCAAGATCGGTTTGGTCCGATCGTTGCCGCAGAGGGTGTTGAGGCCCTCACGGAACGTTGGGTTACATGTGTTCAAGGCGAATCGTCCAAAATTCGCGATCAAAACGGAGATTACGGTATCTTCTTGGGGGCAGGCGAGATGGGCCAGTTCTCCCTCGCAAACTTCGAGGATAACTGAAAAAAATACTGGTGAAAACTTTTTAGAATCATTCTAAGAAGACCAGGGTACCCTAAAAAAAATTGTTTCTATATGATAAGGGGAGGGGGGACCAAAGTGAAATTTTTAAAATTTCGAAATTTTTCGACAATCTATTTTTCACTTTGCAAGGACGCAATCACAAAATCTCGACACAATAAACCTCTGAGATGCACCACAAAGTCGATCAAATTGCAATTCTCGGGATTATGTTGCGCAATGCACAGTGCAATCTCGCACTAGCTAATCTTTTCAGCAAATAACAATCAAAAATTCGGATTTAATAACAGGTTTGGCGATAATAAAGCTAACCAGACCAAACGCAGTCAATAATTCTCGAATTTTAGTCGCTGGAGACATTTTATACGACGAAACATGTTTCATCGTATAAAACGGTCCAGGTTGTAAAAACCGACAAATTGTAATATCGACAAAGATTTTAGAGCTTTTTTCGTCTCAAAAAACGGCTGAAACTTCAGCCTCCAGCTTAATCTATCTTGATCGAGACCATCTAATTACACCCAAATCTCGGTAATTTGCAGATCAACCCGACTAATCCTTTCGAAATTTATGTCCACCCGAACGCCTCCGATTACACTCTCCGGCCAGGTGAAACAAGGCTAGACCTAATTAGGGCTTTCGTGGAGGTAAATCACTAATTCTTGACATTTGGCTTTTTTCGCTTGAATAAATTTAGATGAACAGGCGGGAAACCATAGGTAAATTGAAAAATAATAAAGACTAAAAGGGCTGCTGAAGGCTAAGAAAGCATAAGTTCCTCAATAAACAACAGAAAATTGTCAAAAATTCGAAGAATTATATTGCACTAGGTCACCTGATGGAAAACTGGTCTAAGATAATATAACTCGACGAGATACTAAAAGTTTGCAGTTCTAGCCACGAGAATATTCTGCGGTACACCTTATAAAGCTAAAAACTGGTTCAAATTCCATAAAGTTCACCTTATTTTCGACAAAAAACAAATCTCGATACCCAAAATAAGTAAAATATCCAAAAAATTGCCAAAATTAACGATTTCAGGGCTGAAAGCTATAAAACAGCAAGAATAGGGCATAATCCAACCGAAACAATCCATTTTAGGTATCAAATCTATTTAGCGACTCAGTTTCACCCCAAACTATATTCACCGTCAGGTCAAAAGGTCCCTTAAAGAAAATGGCCAGTAAATAGCAAAGAATGTTTCAAATACCTCCAAAATAAATATTTTCTAACAGCTTGTGAGCTCGTCTAAAACAAGCAAACCAAAAATCCATCCAAACACTTACCATTATCGTCTGCGTTCAATCCGGAGATCAGCAAAAATGTGAGAAAAATCAAAAAGTTCCTCGAGTTCCATCGACCAAAACTCGACATTGTTGAAGGGTCCAATCGCTCAGCTGGATGGCCACATGGATATGGGCACTGGTTGGGGGTGATACGCACCGATGAGTGAGGTATTTTGGAGCGAAAATTGAGCAATCTGCAAGATCAAGATCAGATGTCCAGTATAACATGGCGCAACACGAGATGTTGCGATATGGACGCGAAAGAGGTAATGAGCGATGGTGAAATAGGGCGATTTATGAGGATTGACAAGTTTCTGTCGCGGAATACGGGACGAAAAATTGTTTTACAAAAACCGATAAAATCTGTGACATTTCGTCGAATTTGGGGAAATACGGGATTTGAAGTGAAAAATTGATGGGAAATGGAATTTTTAGGTAGAAAACAGAGTAAAATGATGTTTTCGAACAAAAATTTGCAAATCTAACAACAAAAATTTTTTAAACTTTTATCTAAAACAAGGTAAAATCAAACCCTCAAAATTACAGTAATCCCAAAGTAAAGTCCCAAATAAAAAAACTAAAGATCATCTCAGAGGCTTGCAAAATCGATAGCAAATCGTTTGAAACCCAACAATCGGCAAAAAACAACACAAAATCAGCGGTTTTTGGAGCGCGTAAAAACAATAAAACCGGGGCGAAATCCATCAAAGTCTCGAAAATGAGCTCGAGAATAAAATGGATGATCGAGAAGGCGGCGCGAACTTCAAAAGGCGAGTGAGACAAAAAAGCAAACCAAAAATTAACGGGGGCTTTTAGGGGGCAATCACCTGTGTTCATTAGGAAAATTCTGGGAATTTTTTTTCTTGGGGTTTTGGGAAAAAATGATTTTTTAAAGATGTTAGAAAGGAGTAAATAAAAAATGGTTGATATAAATTTTAAGATAGTGTTCTGAGGATTATCTATTTAGAAAATCAGGATGATTGGTTAATGTATAAAAAAGTTACAGTAACTTTTTTGGACTGAAAATTTGACAATGCCGCGAAAACAGCTTACTAGTAACGGGCTTTAAAAAGTAGTAAACAAAAAAATGTTAAAAGCGATGAGACATAAATCCTTCAGCTTGTACAATTTCAAAAATCAAGGATCTAGGTTACGGTAGAACGAAATTACAGTAACTTTTTTTCAGGGTTGTAGTGACTTGGGACATTTTTTTGAAACAGGTAAAATGCGCCTTACAAACATTTTATGGTTCTGTATTCAAGCTTTAAAACGTCCACGAAGACGTATTACGTCAATACAAAACATTTTTAAAATACGGATAAAGTACAAAAACTCCCCAAATTTGGTTAAAAATCATCAATTTTTCTTAAGTTCGTAAACTTCAATCAAAAACAATCTCAATTTCGAATCGAAAATTAATCCTGTCAACTCCTCCAAACGCCTTGAAGTGCTTGCGACTTGCAGCGCGCTAGCCACGAGCCAAATCCCCGCCAAACAACTGAGCAAACAAGGGGGACTTACTTGCGCGCTTCATCGCTTCCCTTGCCTCACAAAAAATCGAAAAATGACCCCTACAATAAGTGGGCGGAGCTTGGAGAAGGCCTAGACGAGAAAGCAACATGAAGAGAGGGAAAGGTTAAGCGGTGAGACGGGTTAGAGAAGCAGAGAAAAAAGGGTGCAAAAACATAAAAATAAGGAAATTAATAATCGACTAAAGGGGTGAAAAGGTTAAAAATACTTTTTAGAGATCATAATGACTTGGTCAATAAGATTTTTTGGAAGAATTCCAAAAAAATCGAAATTTTGGGTCTCACCACGAAAACCTGAAGTAGTTGGAAATGTGAAAATCAAGTGGATTTTGGTTTTTTTATTATCATTTGCAGCAATATTAACCTTGAAAACTTAGAAAAAACCTCGAAAAAATGAAAAAAATCGAAATTTTAGGTCTCACCACGAAAACTTGATATAAGCTGAAACTCTAAAATACCACTCTGAACAGAACTTAGAGTAAATTTACAGTATTTTAGACAATTTTTAAGAGCAAAATATTTTTTATCACAACTTTTTTTTTGTAAAAAATTGCGAAAAATCACAAAAAAAATTCCCTAAAATCACCACCAAATCAACTCTAAAAGCAGCCAAAAATAAGTGGCAAGGCGAGACAATAAAAAATACGGCTTAACGACGTAATAAAAGAAGCAACACTATTGTTTTCCCGGCAACACGAGAGTTTGCAATGTCCCGAAAGTTCAAGTGCGTTGAGGAGTCTCGGAGCGCGGAGGAGTTGGAGGAAAGCGATCTGAGAGGTTGTTCATTAGGCCAAGGGTTATTCGGGGGCTGTAAACTTTTAAAAATTTGGTTTTTGAACTGTTTTTTTTTGAGAGGGATCAATTTTTGTTGGGATTTTTTGAGGATTTTTTGGGGAAAAATGGCGAAAAAAGTGAAAAATTTTGACAAGAATATAATTGAAATTTTTTTTACATGCTCTAGGGAAGCTATAAATCTCAAAATTAGCTTCATTTCGGCGGAAAAAACTTTGAGATTTTTTGAAAATTTTCAAATTTTTTTTTGAAAAATCACAATATTTTTATTTAAAAAATCCTAAAATAGTCCACAAAGTATTTAAAAAACATTTTTCTTTACGAAAAAATGAAGAAAATTGCCAAAAGTTCCTGAAAACAAAAAAAATCAGATATGCAAATTTCCCAAAAAAATCGCCTTGTCCCTTATGCAGGCCTCTCCCCACAGCTTGATACGCATCTAATCTCAAAACAAGCTTGCCTTTTCTTTCTAATTTTCGCTGAACATCCCTATTGTTACATCATGATCGGCTTTTCAACTTGCCGAAAGTCGCAGATGAAAAGGGAAAAAACGGACTGTTATTAGCATAAAGTTCCACCGGTAATATGCTCATCGGAACGCACTTGACTTTAGGACATAACCGGTTGAAAGAAATGATCTGAAAAAGTCTGCACTGTGCGAAAAATTTACTTTGGGGACTGCACTGTGCGAAAAACGTTTTTTGATAACTGCACTGTGCGGAAATGAAAATTTCTTTCTATAGTTTGCACTGTGCAAAAAAATATTTTTTCAATGATTGCACCGTGCGTGTGACAAAAATCCCAAAAAATTTTGCACTGTGCAGAAAATTTTTTTGACTGCACTGTGCGAAATTAAGCAATTCTTTTGGCGATTGTGCAAAGAAGTGTTTTGTTTACGACTTTTCGCACTGTGCGTGCGACAAAAATCCAAAAATTTGGCACTGTGCGACAAAAGTTTCTTTTGACGATTGCACGGTGCAAAACAAAAAAAAATTGTTTTTAGAGTTAGCACTGTGCAAAAAAATAGTTTTTTTTTTATGATTGCACCATGCGTGCGACAAAAGTTTCTTGGCGATTGCACAGTGCAAAGTCAAAAGTTTATTTTTAGGGATTGCACTGTGCGAAAAATTTTCTTGGCTGCACTGTGCAATAAAAATTCGCGCAAAAAATCTGCACTGTGCAAAATTAAAACATTTTTTGGGATTGCACTGTGCATAAAAGATTTTTTTGCAGTTGCACTGTGCGATAAAATTCTATACATTTTGCACTGTGCAAAAAAAGAAATTTTTTTTGCACTGTGCAAAAAAAATCCCGAAAAAATCTGCACTGTGCAAAATTAAAACATTTTTTTGGGATTGCACTGTGCATAAAGGATTTTTTGCAGTTGCACTGTGCGATAAAACCCTATACATTTTGCACTGTGCAAAAAAAGGAATTTTCTTATGCACTGTGCAAAAAAAATCCCGAAAAAATCTGCACTGTGCAAAAAAAATTTTATGTCTCAAAGCCTCCAAACCTCCAAAAAAATGATTTTCTTCCCCAACAATCATGTCTACAAGGTCAATGACGTCGACAATAATCACGCCGCCTACCGGTGGGACCCCTTCAGAACTTGGGGATTGGTCGAGAAACCGCTTGCACAGTGCGGCGGCGCCCGAAAAAGCGACGCCGCCGGCATCCCGCTGCGCAAAGATGAAACCGCATCTACCATATTGCACACGTCGGCGGGGTGCTGACAAACTGTGCGGTAAATTTTGGGGACAATAAAGGGACGCGCTTTGATGGGGGATTAATTTATTAGCGCGCGGGAAATCTGAGGGACTCTCTGGACTTCCGGGATTTTTTATTTTTCCCGATTCTTGATGGGAGTGGATTACAAAGCAAATTTAGCGGGTGGATAAATTATTTAGGTGAGAAATAAGGCTCGTTCAGGGTAATTGGATAAGCAAAAATTTTAGTTCGGAAAAAAATTTCAATTTCTGGAATTTATTAAAAAAATTTTTTGGTTGATAAAAAAATAAAAAAAATACATAGTTGCAAAAAAAAATACTAAAATACGACTCCAAAAAATTAAATAACAATAAAAAAAATGTTTTAAAATACGATGAAAAAATCCTGCGTTAGATTTAAAAATTCAAGATGCACTGTGCGTAAGCGAAAATGTCCACGCACTTTGTGAAAATGGTAATATCAGGACTTCATACACTGTGCAATTCAAACTTTTTTGCACTGTGCAATTTACATTTTTTCGCACTGTGCAACACAAGTTTTTTGCACCGTGCAATTCAGGCTCTCTGCACTGTGCAGGTTGGATTTTCGCACCGTGCAAAATATCACGATTTTTTGCACTGTGCAAAAAAAGTTTTTCGCACCGTGCAAATCGGACTTTTCGCACCGTGCAAGTCAGATTTTTCTGCACTGTGCAAAATGTCTGGACTTTTTGCACTGTGCAAGATGGGTTTTTTGCACCGTGCTAAATCTCAAGACTTTTTGCACTGTGCAATTCGGGTTTTCTGCACTGTGCAAAAAAAAAGTTTTTTGATGATTGCACCGTGCAAAGGCAGTGTGCAAACCATCAAGACCGTTTGCCCAAAGAACTAACATATCCAAACCTCTTCCAAAAAATCACAAAAGAGGATCGTAAAGTCATCAAAAAAATTATAAAAATAGTCTCCATCCCCCACGACCTTCCCGTAGGCCCATATAATTTTGTGATTCCAATTCCCATCACTTTACAAAGAAATCAAATCAAAAAAGTGGGATTGCGAAACTGGCCAATTTGCATTTTTTCCCAGCGAAAAAATGAATCATCGCGGAGATTTCGGGGGGAGATAATCAAGATCCGATCACAATATATCGTAAACATTTACTTTGCGATGATAAATGGAGGGCCTTTTTGGGGTTGTTTGGGCGGCAGATCAATTAGTAAGGGGTTGGAGGTCGGAAATTTGATTAATAGAGCCAAGGGAAGCTTCAAGATTTTTTTTGAAAATTTTTAAAAAATTCAAAAAAACTTTTTTAAATATCAAAAATTGTTAAACAGAAAATGCTAAAAATGCAAAAATGCTGATAAAATAAAAAAAAATTGAAATACGCTTCATTTTCCGCACAGTGCAAAACAAAAAATAAAAATTAATTTTTGCTGAAAAAATTGGTTTCAGAAAATAAAAAAAATCCCCTTAAAACATTAGAAAACACTTCTAGAATCCACCAAATTAACAATTACACATTTAAATTTGACGTAATTGACAATACGACCAAAACAATCTCAAACTTTTGCACGGTGCAACGAAAAATTTTAAAATTCAAAAATTTGGCAGATAACTGGGCAAAACAAATTTAAAACGGTTTTATTATCCATAAACAGATTGTTTATGATGCATTCTATAAAATAATATACATCTGAGCCTCACCTGAAAGCGTATTTTAAAATCAAAAATTTGGAAATTGCACTGTGCAAAATTAAAAAAAAAAAAAAAAAAAAAAAAAAATCGGTGGAAAATTACGAAAAATCTTTTTTCGTAGGTTCAAAATTTTTTCTACAGTCGAAAAAATTGTGTAACAACCCGAATTTTGTCTGCTTTGCCCACGCAATCAGCCCAAAACGAGACGGGAAGCGTAATCTTATAATAATGACTCATCGCATGGCTTCAAGGCACGTCGATTACCTGGAAATAAACAGCCAGATAAAATTGTTGCTATCGCTGCGCTCGATCTGACTCTCTCTCTAATTGGCGTATCATAAAACGTTCAGTGAAAAGGGAGGAAGGTCATATTTATGCAGATTTATGCAAAAAATATTTTTTTTTCATTTTTAGAAAGAATTGGAAGTAATGTGAATATGTGAATGTGAAAAATAAAGGGCGTTTTGAGTAAAATACAAAAAATAAACTCGAAATTACAATAAAAAAAACTTTTTTTTTAAAAATAAAAATTTTTTTTTTGAAAAATTTTGGCCAAGTGTGCCATATCTACTCTAAATAATCTAAAAATGAATCCCAAAAAATTTTAGCTCAAAATCTGCGATGAGAGCTGAGATATTCAACGGTCTTTTTTGCGAGAGAGCACGTAAAATGAGGAGAGCCGGCTAAACGAAAAATATTTTTGGCAATAAACAGGGTAACCGAAGTGATTTCTGCTACTAGTCCTTCGGGAAAATCGCCGGATTTATCTTTGGCGTTTGAACTGTGCAAAAAAAGTCAGGGTGCGAGCGACAGCCCAAAAAAGCCTATTGCACAGTGCAAAAGCAAGAAATTGCACAGTTCAAAGTTTACTTTTGTTTCGCACAGTGCATGTTGCAAAAATCACTGCAGCGACTTTGCAATAGGACCAATAGGAAAATCCTATCATATGAAAGATTTTTGACGATAAAAAAAATTGAAAAAAGAAATTCGAACAAAAATTATCTTTCCTTATACCGTATTTTACAAAATTACCTGGCATTTTACCCCTCAAACGCTTCAAAAAACACGTTGTTTTACTCGAAACTTTGTTGACGAAATCTCTGCGTCCATCATCGCCGATCATCGTAAAAGCCCTTCCCCTTGTCGTAAAAACAGAGAGAATTTACAACCACCTGCAGACCAGATGACCATAAACACCAATAAAATTATTAATTAACAGTCGCGGAGGTCAACGAACGTAAAATATTTTTATGCACAGTGCAGTTCCACAATTGGCATAATGCACAGTGCAAACGAAAAGCAATGTTTTTTATGCACGGTGCAGAGGAGGTTGCTTGCAAATTTGTATAGTGCAACTGAAAAAAAAATTATCGCCGGTACGTTGCACAGTGCAGAAAATGCTGCCGCAGAAACTGCACAGTGCAATGAGAAAATTTTGTTTTGCACCGTGCAATTAGAAAAAAAATATCGCGCTTATTTCTTGCACTGTGCAGAAAATGTTGTCGCTGAAAATGCACAGTGCAATGAGAAAATTTTAATTTGCACCGTGCGGCAAAAATTTTGTTGCTGTGTGCACAGTGCAATGAAGAAATGTCATTTCCGTTTCCTTTCTTGCACTGTGCAGAAAATGTTGTCGCAGAAAAATGCACCGTGCAATTGAAAAAACCATTGCCACTTTTTTTGCACTGTGCAAAAATTTTTTTGTCGCAGAAACTGCACAGTGCAATTGGAAAAACAATGGCGGTGTTTTTTTGCACTGTGCAAAAAATGTGTTGTCGCAGAAACTGACTGCACAGTGCAATTGGAAAAACAAGGGCCGCTGTTTTTTCGCACTGTGCGAAGAATATATTGTCGCAAAAAAGGCACCGTGCAATTGAAAAAACAATCGCGATTTTTGTTTTTGCACTGTGCGGAGAATGAGTTGTCGCAGAAACTGCACAGTGCGTTTACAAATCTTTTTTGCACTGTGCAATAAACAGAAAAAAACAGTTCTATTTTCTGCACCGTGCAGCACAAATGCTGCCTTTTATTTCACTATGCAGAGCGCGACAAATTTATCTCCCGAAAGCCCTGCTCAAACTTGCATAACCCATCTCTGTCATTCATTTCCGTCCGATTCGCGACATCCCTTCCATGTTCGCGTGTTCGAAAACGGAAAATAACGCGAGATGTCGGAAAAATCGCTCGACTTTTCGTCCTCGAAAATACGGAAATGTTCGCTCATCAATATTAATTTGCATAAAATGGCAATGAACTTACTTTGGTGAGGAAAGATCGAAAAAATGATGACAAAAATTGAGTCGATGGACTCCAATTCTCTGACCGCTGCAAAGAACAAGTAGTTAATTGGATAACGGACCGACTTACACATGACAAACGCGCAATAACAAGTGGGGATGAGCAGAAAATAAAAAGTAATATCCGTTATGCAATGGAATGGACAGTTTTAATGGGAAGAATGAGATAACGCCGAAGATGTTGAGGAAAACAAATTTTTTTAGAGCGAGGGTGTGTATTAGACCGTTCACAAAGTCGCTGGAGTGATTTTGGCGGCATGCACTGTGCGAAAACAAAAGTTCACTTTGCACTGTGCAATTTTTGGCTTTTGCACCGTGCAATAGGCTTTTTCGGGTGTCGCTCGCACCCTGACTTTCCTTGCACAGTGCAAACGCCAAAAATAAGTCCGGCGGCTTTCCTGAAGGACTTTTAGCAGAAATCACTGCAGTGACCTAGTTTATTGCCAAAAATATTTTTCGTTTAGTCCACTCTCATCATTTTACGTGCTCTTTCGCAGAAAACATTGTTGAATATCTCGGCTCTAATTGCAAACTTTGAGCTATATTTTTTAGGATTCATTTTTGGGCTATTTAGAGTAGATATGTATGGCACACTTGGCCAAAATTTTTTAACAAATTGGGCAGGAAATATTGTCGCAGGAACTGCACAGTGCAGCATAAAAAGCGTTTAGAAGACTTTGTTGCACTGTGCAATTAAAAAAAAAGTCGTTGACTTTCCTTTTCTTGCACTGTGCAAAAAATGTATTATCGCCAAAAATGCACAGTGCGATTAGAAAATTTTGCAGTGCAGTGAAAAAAAGCTGGCTGAAATTCCTCTTTTTGCACTTTGCAAAGAATATTGTCGCAGAAACTGCACCGTGCAACTAAAAAAAACGTTTAGAGGACTTTGCTGCACAGTGCAAAGCGACTAGAAAATCTTGTTGCACTGTGCAATCGAAAAAAGTCATTTCCGTTTTTTTCGCACGGTGCAGGAAATGTTGTCGCAAAAATGCACAGTGCAATCAAAAATTTTTGCTGCACAGTGCAGTCGAAAAA